AGTCCCAAAAATTTGCAGACGATGTTCTACATGTAATAGTTTGTCATTTCTTTCCGTCAAATACCCGGTAAATTCTAGTATGCTCAGTCTTCGGCTCATTGTTCTTCCGTACTTGTCACCACGTCAGTACTGTACATGTAGCAACAATGTGTTCTGCCACTGAATTATTGTAGTTACTCTATCTTACCTCAAAGTCTCATCTTATGCTTTTCCAAAGGCTTCTCTGCACTGTTTTCATGCTGTTGCGATGGAGTTGCTATGCTGTTGCTATGGAGTTGCCATGGTGACCACACCCGATATCTTCGTCGGAGCTGCCGGACGGATGAAAAATCCGAAGTTTTTCCAAACCATGCTGTTTCTGCATTCATCTGGTTATTTTGACCTGCTTCCAGCGAGCCTGGTATTTTGCCACTATAGACACTGAAGCAAGTTCTGCCAATTTCTGATATGCTGCTGGTGCCGTCGAAATACTGAAAATGCCGTTATTCAATTCTCTGACTTTGGGTGGCTATATCTCTGTGCCAAGTTATTCTTTTTGCTTCAAATTTTCTGTGGAGTCTTCCTAAACCTATCTGAATCGGATACAAAAAAGAAATACGCGTATTTCTCGTTTTGAAAAAATCGCCTGAAGTGCCTAATACTAGTACTTAGTAGTTATCATGGTTATAGGCTACACAGCGCAGTACTGAGTACGTACAGTGGTGGCCAAAAGTTTTGACCCACCCCATGGAATCGTCAGTACAGCTCAGTCTGGCTCCTAAACACGCCGTTTTTGACTTCTTTGAGGCCAAAGCCGATTGAAACTTGGCAAGGACACTAAAATTTGCAAGAATCCGTTGTCAACTGAGATTTGTGATGGATCACCATACATTTGGGTGGGTCAAAACTTATGGCCACGTGACCAAATTTTGCTCTACCGTACCGTACGGTTTCAAAAAAGTTGTCAGGCTGATGCACGTGCCGGGAAAGTTGAAAATCAACACTTGACTTCTCACTTCGAGAGTTTGCGATATCAAACTTGATTATTTTGACGACGGAGATGGTATTTTCAGCCAATTTAGTGAACCGAGGTCAGATTAGCAAGGATGTGAGGGAAATGGTCGTGAAGCTGAGTGTTGACGGTCTCTTTTGGCGTGGTATCGCTCCTCTGTTGGATTTGAGTAATCCTACGATACGTAGAATTGTCAGGAAACAAAAATTGACTACATTTGTCGAAAGATTAGAATTCCCAATCTCTCGATTTATCAACACAGGTCACAAGTCCGATCTCACCTCTACAGGTGGCACACATCATAGGACAAATGAGTCTGTAGTAATCGCTCTTTCGAAGAATAATACTAGAGAACAACAAAACTGAAAACCACTCGTGTCCAAGAAGAGCAGCATAAAAAACCCACCACCGTGAGAGAAGCAAACACATTCGCAAAAGCGCGCCAAACTGTGCTGCATGCACGTGCCTTGACAAGTACATGTACAGTCATGAATACGTTGGCCAGAACAAGTCATACAAAGCACGGGGAACGTGGGCATGGAACTAGCGTTTTGTACTGAAACAAGAACAGGCACAAACATGATACAAATCGCGCGACAAGGTCGCCGCGACAAGGTCGCCGCGACACTCCAGCCGACCGGGAATGTACACCGGGAGGTAACTTATAGAGCATAAGCAATGCAAATACACACGCACACACACACACACACACACACAGCAAGCAGGTAAACAGGCATACAGAGAGTTTTATGTGCTTGTGAGGTCACTGCCAATTGGACCAAGCACCACCTAATCCTCACACTCTGACACGGTCAAACTTATCAGGCGTGTGGGATGTGTACGTGCAGCAACGATACAGCTGTCCACTTTGCAATATTCTGCCGGGCCTTGTCAGCTGCCGCACGAGTTGGTCGCTGGGGGTTTCGGAGACATTCGGAGACGGGACGACTGGAGTGGCTGGAGCGCCAGTAGCAGGGACAGGACTAACAGCAGTCACAGGAGGGCTCGCAGGAGCGGAAGGTGGACCCTTGGAGTGGACCACCACTGCTGATGGGCTTCGGAGACATTCGGAGACGGGACGACTGGAGTGGCTGGAGAGCCAGTAGCAGGGACAAGACTAACAGCAGTCACGGGAGGGCTCGCAGGAGCGGAAGGTGGACCCTTGGAGTGGACCACCACTGCTGATGGGCTTCGGAGACATTCGGAGACGGGACGACTGGAGTGGCTGGAGCGCCAGTAGCAGGGACAGGACTAACAGCAGTCACAGGAGGGCTCGCAGGAGCGGAAGGTGGACCCTTGGAGTGGACCACCACTGCTGATGGGCGTCGGAGACATTGGGAGACGGGACGACTGGAGAGGCTGGAGCGCCAGTAGCAGGGACAGGACTAACAGCAGTCACAGGAGGGCTCGCAGGAGCGGAAGGTGGACCCTTGGAGTGGACCACCACTGCTGATGGGCTGAAGGATACGCTGGTCAAGGCAGCGGCTGGTGACGTCGTGGGGGAGGCTGTGGGGCACTGGATCGACTCGAGTTGGCGATTGCCTCCAGTTCCGCATCTGCTGTGGCGAGTCCGGACGGGTTCTCCCTCTGTAGAACGGTACGTGCATCCCTCAGGACTTCCAGGTCATCATCGAACTCGAACTCCCACTTGTCGAGTTGCTCCAGGCGGTCCTCAACATCCGAGGAAGTCGCCTGTTCGGTCAGATCGCGGATTCTAGCCTGTGTGGCATTGATTTCAGCTGCAAGGCGTTCAGCCTGCTGCCAATCTCGTAGCAGGTAGTGTGGTGATGGAGCGTCTTTGGCAAGCTCCCGGGTTAAATTGTGGCGAAGGCGTGTGAGTCGTCGCTTCGTGTTTGCTCTACACTTTACAAGCTGGGCGATAGTCTCCATCACTCTGGTCGGAATTTACTAAATAAACTGAGGAAAATCTCTGGTCACTAAAGCACCATGTCGAAAGATTAGAATTCCCAATCTCTCGATTTATCAACACAGGTCACAAGTCCGATCTCACCTCTACAGGTGGCACACATCATAGGACAAATGAGTCTGTAGTAATCGCTCTTTCGAAGAATAATACTAGAGAACAACAAAACTGAAAACCACTCGTGTCCAAGAAGAGCAGCATAAAAAACCCACCACCGTGAGAGAAGCAAACACATTCGCAAAAGCGCGCCAAACTGTGCTGCATGCACGTGCCTTGACAAGTACATGTACAGTCATGAATACGTTGGCCAGAACAAGTCATACAAAGCACGGGGAACGTGGGCATGGAACTAGCGTTTTGTACTGAAACAAGAACAGGCACAAACATGATACAAATCGCGCGACAAGGTCGCCGCGACAACATTTCACCACGATCAGACCGACCAAGAGAGACCAGTGCAAGACAAGATCGCCACCATATCATGAAGTCAATGGCGAATCGCCTCAAATCCGTCACTGCCTGCGAGCTGAGATGGTGAGCGACGGTGATAACGCGATTTCTGTGCGTTCTGTGAGACGCAAGTTGCAGAGAGCAGGCCTACGTGGCTGTATGGCCATCAAATGGCCCTTCATCAGTGCTGTGAATAAGGCGAAACGCCTTAAATTTGTATAGACGCACAAGGACTGGAGCAGTGATGACTGGTGGTAATTTCTGTGGACTGATGAGTCTAAAATCAACCTCAAGGGCTCTGGTGATGCAGTTTACGTCAGGAGGTGGACAGGATAGGCTCTGGCTGGCACATGCACCCGCAAAACTGTGAAGCGCCGCGACGGCAATATCAATGTATGGGAGCCATGGCCAGCAACGGCGTAGCGCGCATTTGCCGGGTGATGGATACGATGAATGTGGACCAGTACCTCGCATCATCCGAAAACATGTTGTTGCTGAGCATGATGCAGCTTGTGGGTGGTGTGGGTGGTGTCTTATGGCCGCAAACGCTCCGCAAACAGAACGGAGGCGCGGCGGACGGTGAACGGCATCACCGTCCTGACATGGCCCCTGCAGCCACCTGACCTCAATCCAACTGAGAATCTCTGCAAAATTGCTGGGCTGAAGCAGCACGATGTCGAAATCACCCCCAGAAACCAGTATGAGCTGTGGCGAGTGTGCCGGGAGGCATAGAAGTTGATTTCTCCTCACGAGCGCAAGAAGATCGTCGATTCAATGCGGCAGTGTATGCAAGCGATCATCAAGGCCAATGGAGGGGTTACAAAGTGGTGGATGTATCTGGAATAGGCCGGGACTGACTTCTAGACTTTAGTTTAGTTGAATACTTTTTAGAAATCACACTATTTCGTGTATCCTGTTGGCGGTTTATGATAGTGCGGGCGTTGGCCATAAGTTTTGACCCACCTTTTACATATACTTGACCACAGTAGTCCCCAGATGACTCCGTGTTTCAGCATTTTTCATTTCTACTTCACTATTCAGCCTGATTCAGAGGTCCTCAACCAAAAATTTAGTAGCTTACAGCCCAAACCTTCAGAATTCGAAAAATCTGCATGGTGGGTCAAAACTTTTGACCACCACTGTATATATACGGTACATGTACACTGACCACTGCATGCTCCGTGTGTGTGGGGGGGGGGGACCGCGCGGGGGGGCATGGGCCATGGGCCGCATGGCACTGACAGTCTGTACATATATGTACATGTAGCTGGTAGACCACGTGTCGTCGTGCGATGCGACGATCTGTGTTCTTTTGCCTGTGCAAGTCACGTGCACAACACAGGCGAGTCTGCATCTGGCGACGTCAACAATCTCTTTTTTTTTCATTTAAAAAATAATAATATTTTTGCTTTGGCGCGAACGTAGCGTTTGGCGCGAAATCCGCGAATGGCAGGTTGTGGCGCGGCACGTGGAGCTCAGTGGATAGCGCATGCATGCATGCAGTAGTAGATCTACCCAATCAATCAGGCAATCGATGCATCCTCGCGAGCTTCTTCGTCTTTTGAATGGTTTTTGTCTTTTTGAACACCATGATGACATGCATACTCTATGGATATCCGGATCTACGACTGCACAGTCTGTGCACAGTCAGTATTCACTGACAGTACTTGCCCAGACACGTTCGGACGGGTCAGGACGAGCGAGCTAGCTAGCTGAGAGAGAAGAAAAACACTCCACTGACGGTACAACCGTTACTTGAAGAATCCAGGCGGAGAAAGATAATTCAGTCTTCAGGTTGTTCCTCGCCTTCTAGAATTCTCGAGATGTGGGATATTGTTGCCGTCGTGGTGGGAGCCCTGCTCCTTCTCATCTTGGGCTATTTGTACTACAGCGGACTGTTCTATCCCATTAGCATCAATATTACCAAACCTTATGAAGGAGAGTTGCCAATTGCTTACAAGTACATGATTGGAAATTACAAAGACTGCGGGCCGGTATTTATGGAGTTCATGGCTGCCACGTCCCACAAGACGACGTTGATGGGCGTCTATTACGACAACCCGGACGTAGTTGTAAGGGCAATTGAATATGCACGCAATTGAATTATCAGAGTATGCATGTACATGTGGTAGATATACCGTGCCGCATACTCAAATAATTCAGAAAATGTCTGATAACTTTCTTTTCCGGTATTGTAGGCGTGTGTCTTTTGGATGGCAACAATTTCAATGGTTCAACTTTCACACAAACCAGACTTCATCATCCAATAGGTGCTTGTCAGCGGCACCGAATCAATAAAAAGTTGCCAATTTTGGCCAGTGGGGAAATATTTTTCTAGCCTACAATTGTTGTACAATAGAGCAGGGTTCTAACGTTAGCTGGGGGGGGGGGGGGGGGGCAGCACCCCACCCTCTACTCCGATAGCGCTTCCCCTATTCACTTTTTCGATTATGTGTTTTTTCAGTTCATACAACAAACATGTGGCCACTAATCGATCGTTCCGGGTGTGCGTTTTGTGTGTCGAGCCAATATTGGAAAATAGGCTGACTGTTTATTTCCCCTGACCCCCCCCCCCCCATTCTTTTTTTCTCCTAGCTAGATCCTGTTGGAGTCATGCGGCCAAGAACGTTGTTTCCAAGGGGTCGGGCTGGGACTTACCGTAGAATCCCGCGGATAAGCCCCAGAGCTTATCTGTTTCACAAGGATATTTCAGTGGGCATATACGCCGGCACGGGCTTATACGCCGGCACGGGCTTATACGCCGACACCAAAATTGTGCTATTGGAAAGTACCAAGGAAGTCAAAAATACATTGCTGAAAACCACTGTGCAAACAAAAACAACCGATGATTGTGTTGAAATGTACAGCAAAAATCAAACCGTACATGTACGACATACATGGTACGACCTAGGCCCGTGGGCTTGTACAACGAAGCTTCGCGATGTTCGAGCTTGGCCTGGGCTTATGCGCGAGCATGGGCTTATGCACGGGTGGGCTTATCCGCGGGATTCTACGGTACTTATATTTGAGCAACCTGACTGCGTTCTTATACTTAGCATGCTCTTAGAAACAATCGGTACTGGATCGTGTGCATGCGCTATTACATACCGTAAAGTCTTGTATAAAAGCCGCACTTGAATAGAAGCCGCCCTCGAATCGAAGCCGCAATTTTGGGCCCATCAAATCACACATAAGCCTGGTTTTAGTGTTGACATACATAGAAATACCTGTCTTGTATAGAAGCCTGTCTCATATAGAAGCCTGCAAAATTTCACCAAGAAAGTCATAGAAGCCGCGGCTTTTATACAAGACTTTACGGTACGTATGTATGTATAGCAAAAACTGCTAGAAAACCAACACCGACGCTCTTTTTTCTGAGCGGTACAATCTATGTTCTTGGTGTAGGTGACTGATTCTGCGTTGATTCCTTAATTTTCTGCTCGTGATATTGAAATCACGAACATTCTTGAGCAGTCTTAGATCCCTGTATCAAACAGATGCTGTAGTGACGCACATAAAGGCGCATGCGCTCGTGAGTGGATTTTTGCGTTATTTGCTATTTTTGCGGGTCGTTTTGTCTCACACATAGGCGCATGCGCTTCAGTTGCTAGTGTACCGGTACCTTGCATAATTATGCAAATAGTGTGATACCGCATATGCACATGGAACTAAGTGAACATGGTGTTTTTGTGGTGTCCGTGTGTCGCGGGATGGGCTGCATTTAAGTTCACTTATAAGCCCATGTGCTTATGCCCGGGTATAGGCACATGCGCTTATTAAATGCGCGTCACTACGGTATAATCTCAATATAGTTCTCTATCATCTTTGTATCACTCGTCCGTGCATGCAGGATGCGAATAAATGTCGCTATATTGTTGGGGCGTTGTTGACTGGTGAGGGAGCACAATATCGTGACACTCTGATGGGAAGAGGTTACGCACTGACCACCATTCCGGCATTGGAGAAAGCCGCTGTTGTGGACTTCCCAATGGTCAATAAGTTGTCGATCATCATTGCCGCCAAACGCATTTACTCGGCCCTATTCACGTACCTGAAGGTAAGCTGCCTGTTTACACACAGGCTTTGCTAGGCACTTTCTTGTCAAATGCTTCCTGAACAGACTTGCTTCATAGGGGTCGTCGCAAAAGTTTTTGTCGTCCCTGAAATGAACATCATTTGTGTGTGTGTGGGGGGGGGGGGGTGCAAGCTAAAATCACATGTCGACCGACACTGTACATATTACTTCGAAGTATATACATGTACTTCAAGTACATGCATGCGATTTTCGTCATCCAGCATAGCAAGTTGCATTCGTTTCAGGGGGGGGGGTCCGAGTACGAAATGAACGATGTTCGTTTCAGGGACGACAAAAAAACCTTTGTGACGACATCTTACTTTGCCATCAGAATGTATTGAATCATTCAATGTTTTGCATGCTTGCAACATGTCGTTTGTTGTAGCATGTTAATGACATCCTCTATGAAGCTTGTGAACATGAATTTCTGCTCTGTGAGGCCTGTGCTGATAGCAGTGGCGCGGTCAGCCATTTACCAGTCTCTCTTTCTCGCGATTTTTGCTGCTTCGTTTCAGGACAAGGAGTTGACCCACAAGGGGTTCACGCTAGAATTGTACTCCGGGAATAATATGCGTGTTGTGCTACCCGTCCTCCCAGATCCTGATCCAGCTTTCTTTGTGAAAGAACTGAAGTAGAAAGTGTGCTATGCTACTGTACTTGGCTTGCCCCGTGAGCAGTCTCTGTCAGTCTACCAAGGCCTCTCAGTTGTCATGGATCGGTCAGTCATGGTGGACCACTTGTTTGTCAGCAGTCCATTTTTTCCATTTTTCCGTCGCAGAAATCCAGTCATCTGCAGCCAAGCAGTGTGTTTCTCGTTTAGTGTGGACAAAAGTGGTTTATCTTTGCCATCTTCAGTTCTCTCCTTTCCTTTTGAAATTTCTCTACCCTTCGTAAATGATCGTTGAGTGCAGGCTTATGATGTGGTCTTGTTTATGTAAGCTGTTACGGTGCATCGCAGGCAAAGTAGGGAACTCTTCTTTTTAGTTGCCTTCGTAGATACTATTGTTGTGCATACATGTACAATGTCAAGTACTTTGTGATATCAATAGCTAGCCTTCGATTTTTATACTGAATTGAACTAGATGTTTCACGTGAAATCAATCTCAGCCCATAGCAGTATTGCTTCCCTCCTTTGCGTTGGTTGCTTATCGTGTTCACGTTTGCTTGAATGGACTCGGATGGAGGGCCAACGATAAATTTATACAAAATAAAAGGACCAAGGAACTACACGTATTAGTTACGCTATAAAAGTAGAATGTCTACTTACACGACCAGTTACTTGACAATCAGCTCATGCAATAACATTGCATGACACTGACCAACGGTACTGACGTTCTACATCTAACTGCCAATCAGCTCTAGCACGTGGATGCGCACTCCAACAGCCTTCCAACTAACGTTACTTGGAAGGTTCTGTTAATAACTGTATCAATTTCATTTTTTGCTTGCACACTCTAAATACAGTGTCCCTGCTTCAATGAACCAGAAACAGTGTTCTGGTTTGGAAGAACGATCCTGAAGTGCATCCGTGATCTATCAACATAGCAGAAGTATTGGTACCTGTACTGGTATTCGGTCGCATTGCACGCCCGGACGCAAACATGGGTATGGGATGGGCACTTGACTATGATCTGCTTTTTTACCTGTATAATGACATGTACCGTGTATTGCTTGGCGGCGAGGCCAAACTGTAGAAGCCCCTGTCAGTGGTAGGCTTGTATTCGAACCACACAAACACTACACTGCAGGAGCACCTGGATCCCCACGAACGGGTTTTGCTCCAGACTAGCATAATACTATTCCTTCACTTTTACAAAACATACTTCAAATGTCATTATTTCATTTATGAATTCCATGGCTTTATAACTGAGCTTGACTTTATGATCGAATATACCTCCTTTAAAGGTGGGGACATACGGTACGATGTATGTGTGTTGTATCATAGCCTGCACATCCGATGTTCAACCAAAAAGCGAACAAAATGTACATCTGAAGTAGGGTCCGGCGGATTCTGCCGGCAGAAAAATTGGCAGAATTCGGTGCTTTTTCTGGTAAGTTTCATGCATGTTTGGGATGTGGATAAAGAAATGGAGCAGAATCCGAGGAATTGCCCGCCATAAGGTTTGTATGGTTCTGCCAATTTCACTGCTTTTCGAGCAGAATCCGCCGGTCCCTAATCTGAAGTACTGCGCATGTGATATACCGTATTTTCCAGAGTTTAATTAAGCCACACTTTTAAATACCAGTAATTCACCCAAAAAGGTCAGTGCTGCTTATACTACAATGGTCAATGGCATGGGCCGGATAGATGTCTGTATTTCGTGACAAAAAAATGGGTGCAGCTTATACTCCGGAAAATCATTGAAATTGCCCCCCCCCCCCCCACACACACACACACATACACATTAACCGCAGCTTCGGCTGCATTCACTCGAGAAAGTTCAACCCAAGTACACTTTGTATAGTTTGCAAAAAGGTGGGTGGCTATCCAAGGAGACTATTTTATAATGCAGACTAAGATTCATGTGTGTACTTGTAAGTAGTCTTGTGAGATCATGCGACTACTCTACAGTGGCAGGAATTTGCGTGTTATTTTATTACTCACTGGGGGTCAAGCGCGATGGCATCATGTAAAAAAAAACTCCAGCCAAGTGTGGTGGGTTGAAAACGCTGATGTAAACACAGCCTTTGGTTTATGAATGTATTGATATCATGACTGTGTTGATTCAAGTTATACTATACTGAACAGGAAACACCCATACCTTCTCCCACAACATTTACACTAGGGGTGCGTTTGGTTGGTACGATCTAGAACAGGATCGAACAGCTGGTGCACTGCACATGGAGCAGCCTCATGCCAACCAAACGGTACTCCAAAAACAGAGCAATTTTTTGTGAAAAATATGCCAGACTTGGTGCAATCTTCAAAATGTGTATGGGTCACCATGGTCACTGTGTACGGTACGCCGAGTCTAACCCCAAAGCGTATGCACGTGATCATTTGGGACCAAAATCGATGTTCCCGCCCGGTTTCACTGTGAAAAAGTGAAACTGCTCGGTCTGCTCCGGCCTCAAGGCCGGAGCAAGCAGAACATGTTCTGGCCGACCCAGAACAGGTGCAGTCCCAACCAAACGCGCTGTTCTGGTGAATCCTGTTCTAGTTCGTACCAACCAAACGCGCCCTAAAGCACCATCCTCCACATGTGCAAAGTAATAACATTTTTTTTTTAAATGAATAAATGATACAGAAGCCTGACAGATGTAAACTTTCTTGGCGATGCGATACAATTCGAATGGACCAACTAATTTGTAGGAGAGCTTCCAGCGTAAATATAATATGTGATAATGGTCTAGAGAATTCAGTAACAATCGTAAATAGTGCTTGGAGTTGCAGCAAATTCTAAATTTGATGAAGATTGTCTCAGCATGGCAGCAACGTGAGGCGTTACCGGAAGAAACAATAGCGCTACCCGACCGCCGTCACTCAGCAAAGGAAATGGTCATTTGGTTTTGAACTTTGACACACAACAACAGAGTTAGGACAAATAATGCGCTACTTCTTCTTCTTTCTCTCACGCACTCCTTTCTTTGCAGCGCTTGATACTGATGCAAGTGCACCCCTTGTCTTGGATGATTCAGCTTCATGCAAGCCACTGCCAGAACTACTGCTACAATCTTCTCCATCATCCTCCGCATCATCACGTGCCGGTACGAAAATGACCGCAAGAATGCAAACCAACTGGAAGGCAGCGCCAAAGTACAGGCCTACGTTGATCATGTCCTCCAAATCCATGTTGTACTACTACACTGCACTAACACTAGTAACTGCTGCACAGTATAAATGTATTTAATACATTCACAGGGTTATCGTGGCAGGGATGACACAAGCAGCACTAAGCAGGTGCTGTCTTGTCGTCACTTCAGCACAATCTCCACATGCGTTGCACTCCAGGTACTGCTTAGTCTAATCACTGAATATCAGTGTTCAATGCTGTGCATATGTGACGGCCCATTGATGACCACTGGATACTACGTTCTTCATCAGCTTGCTCCAGCTAGCTCACATACGAAGCACAAGTCCAAATTTTACTCTCTCAGTTACTACTACTACATGTACTAGCACTTGCAGCAGTTTCGAGGTGATTGCAAATTAATTGGTTCAAATACAATACCGAACTAAAAACACACAAACTTAGGGCTCACAGTTGCGTACATTCAACATCAGCGCCATTTTGTTCCACGAGGTGCTGGCGTGATCAGTGAAAACCGTGTTTCAGCCAATCACCGGGCTTGGAATTTTGAATATTTTTTGAATCTTCTATCGATTCGTTCTAAAGATCGACTGGCCGGAGAGCCATGAAATTTTCAGGGAGGATTCCTTGGCTGAAGGACTACAGGATTACCGAACGATTTTTTCAAATCCGTGCTCTGAGTCCCACGAACGGGATTTTGTGGATTTTCGTCCCTCGATGGGACAAACATCTGTGGGAATCGATGACACAAGCTCGGTGAAAACCAAAAATATGGCTCGGTAATCCTCTGGCCAGGTCCCTCAAGAAAATTTTGAGCCATAGATCGTCAAAATCGGAGCAACCATTGTGCAGTTCTTACATTTTGAAGCGCGCAAGGTCAAGAAGAAGACCGTGCGCAAGCTGACATGACAGAAAACGGCAAATCAAGAAAAAAATAATGATGATGCGCAACCTTGTCACGCATACCACCACAGATTTCCTGTACCCTGCGTGCGGAAAACATCGCTTTGCATTCCAGAAAAGCTCACTTACCTAAAATACGTGTTGGTCACCTCGCAAGGCGATCAGCGCCGTGTTCGAGTGATTTGTTTTGTGCGCTCATTTTGTTCTTCATGGACTCAGCTCTGCAAACGATCCCGGAAACGCCTTGCAACTACTTTCTGATCGTGGATGGACGGCTTGTTCGTGGCCTGTTTGCCTAGGGTCGTGAGAAGCGCCGCAGATCTTTGCTCAAACTACAAAGATTACGCTTCGGCGTGCACAACTCTTGTTCACCTGCCGTTTCGTTCACTGCGCAGTGGAACGAACTCCTTTCCTTAGGGCCTTCCAAATCCATGGTCAGGTGTGGGTAGAGCCGATTGTGAGCTGGTCATTGTGGAGTATCGTCGTGGCAGACTAGTACTCTTCATCAATTTCTTCCCGGGCATTAGTGACCCGAAGCGCTTGTAGGCTTGCGATATTTTTGGGTAGTTCGTCCCTCACTTCACCTTAGCCACAGCTCAGTACCAAGGGTAAGTCACGGAGAACTACCATTGTAATGTTCGATGTCCATCTCCCGAACTACAGAAAAGATCAAGGCCTCCCAAGCTTCTCCATATGCCATCTTCTAGCTACTTGTCGGAAATTTTGTTTGCCGACAGAGCAAGAAAACAGCAGCTCCATCATGCTGCAGCCTGCACGTAGATCAGAGACTACACGCCAGCACAGAACTGCATACAGCTCCGCAGTCCGCACGCGAAAGGATCACGTGAACTTGAGTGCCCCAAATCAAAATGGCGCTGATGTCCACTGGCTATCAGCATACGTACTGTGAGCCCTAAAACTGACAAAGCAAGTCCTTTTTGTGGCAGTTGGCACTGCACTTCATGCACAGCGCTAGCGTCATCGCTCAGAATCTGGAGTTCTGGACCACACAAAATTCCCCGGGGCCGGGGGGGGGGGGGGATCCGGGATAGCCTGCTAGCCGGCCACGGCCACGTGCACTTTTCAAAAAAATCACTTGAGTTGTGGAAAAATAATTCATCCGGCCACTCATGAAAATTCTGACTGTCGACTGTCTCGAAATCTCTGCAACAGTGTTACATGTATTTGCTTCAGTGTGAACTTTGAAGACGTGACATGCAATGACCGGCATGAGTGGATGTGATGACGACAATGTTGCGGGTTGTACGAGGCAATTTCCTTAGATCTGCTGTGTTCTTGCCAGGACGATTTTCCTCCCAGTTCACCAAGTTCACTTCAGGTGGTAAGTTTCTGAACATTTCCCTCAACTTCTGTTTTTCGTGAAATATCTTTTATATAATGTAGAGCTATAGACAAGCATTATGCTAGTGCAGCAAACATGGGTTTAAAGAGTACGCTTCAGGAGACACTCAAACCTGATGCCTCCCCTTATCAGAGGCATACACATGAGACTAAAAGTCCATAACTCCAAGAGTTTGCAACTCTGCTCTCCGAGCTGTGGGTGCTCTGCATGGCACGCTGCCTTCATTACGTACTGAAAGGGCTGGATTTGAATTTCCTACGGTTTAGGAGCAACGATGTCACACGTGATATGGGAGGTTCGAAAGAAATGCCTGTGCGCGATGCATCACATACGAAACTATTCGAAGTCTCAGAGAGAGAAAAAAACGTGCTTGGAAGCTGGAAACCGTAGTAGATCAATAATATCGCAGTGCCCCAGCTGATTCTCCGGTTAGTGGCTACGTAATGAGGGCAGCAAGCCGCGCCAGAGCCCATGTGCAAAGCTGCATACTCTTGTTAGTCTTAGGGGTTATGGCCTGTTGATGAGATACCTGATTGAACAATAGCTGGAGGCGAGAAAAAAATGCATCGCCGTTGAGGTTGTGGGAGAAAAAGCGTGGCGCAGGCAAGTACGTTTTGGGTGGGTACTGTAATTTCACAAATTTTCGGTGTACTTTTATTTTCGGTACTTTCGGTGCGTCTGTTTCATACCTAAAATTTCAATACACCGAACAAACACTAACACACATAATCCAATAGGGAACTGCTTCTCTGCACCGAAAATTTCTGTTCACCTAACCTAGCCTTTTGCCCTCATACCGAAAATATTGAGCACCGAAAATTTCTGAAATTAGAGTACCTAAGTTTTTTATATACAAGAGAGAGTTTGGATGCCCTACATGGGCATTGAGCACTCTTCGGACAGTGAAGCACACCACTTGACTAAGTTTTTTATATATATATATCTATGTTAAGGTCAGAGTTGCACTGATGAGGCCTCATTGGCCGAAACAGTCTGGCTGTCTGCATCATTGAGTATTTCGCTCCTCGATTTCGATCTTGTAGAGCACTCTTAATAGGACGCACTTGCGTACATCGAGCTGTCCTAATGTCTGTGGTTCTCGTAGCCATGGCTGACAGTTCAATCCTATTTTACGCTCGGAGTTGCACTGATGAGGCCTCATTGGCCGAAACAGTCTGGCTGTCTGCATCATTAAGTTTTTTAAAAATATATATATATTATTATTATTATTGTAAAAGAGAAAAGGACATATGGATACGAGTTTAGAGTAACTCTCCATCACTGTAACATGATACTATATACAGTCAGAAAGTGCAATAACTAGGCACAAAACTGACAGAGTACTGAGACATTCGACGTCCTGACACCTAACTTTAACACATCTCCGTAGCGCTAACCGACAGCCTTCCAACTTGGAAGGTTCAAGGTTATGGAAAGACCAAAGAGGGGAAGGCAAGCGCAACGAAAACGAGCAAAAGCTACAGTCCCACCGGAACAAAGAATGTCGATTGTTACTGGACGATGAATGATGTTTTCGTTGCGCTTGCCTTCCCCTCTTTGGTCTTTCCATAACCTTGAACCTTCCAAGTTGGAAGGCTGTCGGTTAGCGCTACGGAGATGTGTTAAAGTTAGGTGTCAGGACGTCGAATGTCTCAGTACTCTGTCAGTTTTGTGCCTAGTTATTGCACTTTCTGACTGTATATAGTATCATGTTACAGTGATGGAGAGTTACTCTAAACTCGTATCCATATGTCCTTTTCTCTTTTACATTTATTTATGGCTCAACATCCGAGTTTCAAATTATTATTATTATTAGAAGCTTCTCCGCATTGGCATCAATGCAATGTAGATATACACAGCATGTATAGCTTTCGCATAAGCCGAAGCGACAACAGCCAAACAGGATATTGATGGCGATATAAAACATATGCGATATGAAACGCGTGACGAAAATAGAATACAATTAAAACAAGCAAACGAGCAGCTCAACCGAGTTGAATTTGAATTTGCTGATCATTACCAAAATATGTATAGATTATAGACCGGTTAGGAGGTCTATACAGGATATATAGACCGAGGGGGACCTCGGTCTTTTACGAGGTCTATATATCCTGTATAGACCAACTATGAGGTCTATAATCTATTTATCGTGTTCTCCACGCAATAGTTTCTCTTCATATACGACATATCCTTGTAATTCTAGTATTATACTATAGCCTATACCGCATTGTACTGCATTGAAAGTCAAGATCATTGTTTAAACCAGGTTCAGCATCGGTAGCACAGTGGCTGGGTGGTAAGGAAGAGTGACTGAGATTCACAAGGTTTTGGGTTCAAATCCCATCTTGTGTATTTCTGCTTTCTTCAAAAATTTCTTTTTCTAAGTTGGAGAGAAAATTTCTAAGTCCAAGAAGTTCTAAGGAGTCAAATATAAGTAGTCAAATATATCGCGTATTTGACTGCTTAGTCAAATACGCGATATATTTGACCGCTTAGGTATCAGGGAAATTAGTGGGGTCAAATACTAAGAAGGCGATAAATATAATTATTATACTCAATCTGCGGACAGAACTGTTTCGTCATTTGTGGACTCGTCAGCGCAGCACAGAGGAAATGAGGCCGAACCTGATAGCAATGGAAATAAAAATTTCCAATCAGGCCCGAACGTACCTTGCCAGAGTGCTCAAACTGACAAGTCAGTGAGCTCTGCATAACGCAAACAGCAAAGGCACTACCCCACGCAAGAGTGCTCAACTGCTACAAGAGCAGGAGCGAAATACTCAATCTGCGGACAGAACTGTTTCGTCCTTTGTGGACTCGTCAGCGCAGCACAGAGGAAATGAGGCCGAACCTGATAGCAATGGAAATAAAAATTTCCAATCAGGTCCGAACGTACCTTGCCAGAGTGCTCAAACTGACAAGTCAGTGAGCTCTGCATAACGCAAACAGCAAAGGGACTACCCCACGCAAGAGTGCTCAACTGCTACAAGAGCAGGAGCGAAATACTCAATCTGCGGACAGAACTGTTTCGTCCTTTGTGGACTCGTCAGCGCAGCACAGAGGAAATAAGGCCGAACCTGATAGCAATGGAAATAAAAATTTCCAATCAGGCCCGAACGTACCTTGCCAGAGTGCTCAAACTGACAAGTCAGTGAGCTCTGCATAACGCAAACAGCAAAGGCACTACCCCACGCAAGAGTGCTCAACTGCTACAAGAGCAGGAGCGAAATACTCATTATATATATTTTACCTAAGTCGCCAGTACCTGCACATGGCCTATGCGGAGCTGTGTGTGTGTGTGGGGGGGGGGGGAGTAAGAGAAGTAAATGAAAAGACGGCCCATTTCTTCTGTGGATCCGATTTCCTCCTTCTAAAGCCTGGTTCACACTAGGCCGATTTTCCGGCCGGTGCTCCCACGCCGACTCCGACAAGAAATCGACCGACTGTGTTGGATGAGTCGGACTAGCTGTTCACAAACAACGATGGGCAATTTCGCTTGTACTATAGTTGTAGGCCTGTCTGTTACACACGTACGTACACGCGGTACACAGCCGCGCTAGACCGTAGTAGATGCTAAACAGCGGAAATGAGATAGTTTTTACACGAGCCACAGGGCCAAAGGCGTGCAAAGGCTTGCGTCTAGTAGTAGCGATCCAGTGCAGCCAGTTCACGGTCTGCACCGACGCTGTCCGCTGTCATGGTGAAAAGCCTACAGTGATTGGTCCGATGACCGCTCCATCACGTGCAAGCACTAAAATTCGGCCGGCTTTTCGGCTAAATATCGACCAGTCGATACTTGGCCGAAAACTAGTGCGACAAGAAAATCGTCGCAGACCTGTCGGAAACCTGTACAACAACACCGTCCGCACCAGGCAATTTTCGATCAGATCTTGAGAATTTTACGTACGAGTCCGTGTCGGCCGGAAAATTGGCCTAGTGTGAACCAGGCATTAGCATGTCCTTCAATTTCGGAAACTGCACTTCGCAGCTGTAATAATTATAGTTATGATGCAAACAAGTGTGGGGTGCCTCACTGCATTGTGTGAAGAATGCTCAATGCATACATGTACATGTTGCCTGGTGGAGATAACCAGTGGTAACGGTATGAGACTCTCCGGACATGTAGCAACTTCCCCCCCCCCCTGTCTCTACTGTGCATTCATGTACAGGTATAGTCATGTTGACCACACAGATTCAAGATTGGCCCTCTTTTGGATATATGAATGTGTCATGTGGTTTATTGAACGTGCATGTGTGTAGAGTGTACGAAACATGCCCAGACTTGTACTGAGTGTTGTGTTTGGATATCAGAAGATTGAGTAACCAGCATCTATTGTACAAGTATATGATTGATGATTTGCGAATTTGTGTCCCTCATTGATGTGCTGCTTTTTGTTGTGTCAACTGCAGATCAAGCTGTGTCGGATGTAGTAAGTCATCTGAACGAGATTCTTGAGGACCCGTCCAAGAAATCAGACTTTGCTGGTGTGAACAGGGCCTTTGCGTACTGCTTCAATAAAAGCAATGTAGCCAAGCGCAACAAAGCTCTCAGTGCTGTCCAGCCGCTACTACCTCGTCTTATTGCTGAGCGGCCTGCTGAGGAGATTGCGGACCTTGTGAGCGGCTTGGTAACTGGCCACAGCACCACCTTTCAGCCGCGAGCAAACCTTGCTGGCAAAGCATGTCACCAGCTGCTGTTGGCTGCGGAGGAGACTGGCATGTCTCTTGCACCCAGTATTGCTGCGTCACTCTTCTTGTCTATGTCTATTCTGCGTGGCAAGAATAATGTGCTGGAGGCATTGCTGAAGCATGCTCTGATGAATACTGACGAGCTCCGCACCCAGGATGTTATCAACTTACTGCGAGGTGCAATGCTGTGGGAGGATGTGCCGCGTGACTTAAAGAAGCGTATCTCCCACAGGTCTGTTGTAATGAATGTCGAGGAGCTGAGTAATGAGAGTGTTTCACAGCTCGCCGGGTGTATGATACGTCTGAAGATCAACCCGCAACACTGGATTGAAGGGCTGGAAGATTTTGTCAGAGTGAATGCTATGCGTCTCAGTGAGACTGCTGATGGTCTCGCTCTTCTCAGTAAGGTTGTGTTCACAATCTGCAACAATGCCGTGGCACTTCCAGAGGTGCTGGAAACAGTGAATCATGCTTTGAACACGCTAAAGTCATCGTTGACTGGTAGCTCAGCGTGGGTGCATTTGATTTGGTGCTGCGCCTTGGAGGATATGTACCCTGTAAAGTCTCTCCAGACCTTGTTCAGTATGGATGCGGAAGATCTACGCAGGCTGGCAGGTAACAAGACCGTGGTAAAGTTCTTGAATGATTTGCACTGGCTATTCGTCGATGGGAAATTGGAATCATCCATTGTGGGTGGCTTTCCCGAGGAACAGTATACCATCTTGTTGAACAACTTCAATGCGATTCATCCACCACGGCGGTTTGTCGAAGACTGGCGCACCCGTTTCAAAGGTGCCCACTGCTGCCTATTTGATGTGCGTACAAGGGAGAACTATACACTGGATGTTGCTGTCCTGCGCAGTACGATCGACTTTGACTTTTTGCGCTGGGATGACCATCAGCTGCACCCAGCTGAAGTGACGGCTCGCAAAATGGATCGCCGACGCTATTGCTCAGCACAAGCTGTCCTAATATTAGAGTCTTCCTCTTTCATCCAGCAGTCCTTCTTTCCGCTGGGATGGGTTCGCATGCAGAAGAAGGTGCTGGAAAGCGCTGGCTGGGATGTATCTGTTATACCGAAAATACTTCTCAAGCGCTCGGGTGCGGATGGACCAACAGTGGCACTGAAGGACCGCCTGGATGACATTCATGAGAACAATGTCTTGCATTGCCATGGGCGCAAGAAATCTGTATACATACCTCGTGATACTGAGGAGAACTTCTTGGAGCCAAAGGTCCATAAGCCCAGTGCTGCTAAAATGCGCTATATGAAGCTCATGGCAGCCAGGGCTCGGAAATTGAACTCTCGTCAGCAAATCACATCCGGTCCAAAGGTTCGAGAGCCTTGATCGCTACTGCTCCTCCAGCTTGAGACATTTGGATGTGCGTATGGGTACGTGCAGGTTTGTGCGTGCGTATGTGTGTGTGTGTGTGTGTGTGTGTGTGTGTGTGTGTGTGTGTGTGTGTGTGTGTGTGTGTGTTGACACGCACTTGCACGGGTGTGTTGACGTGCGTGCGTGAGCACTCAGTTGAATGAGTGTATCTGCTGGAACAAGTTTTTTTCTTCCTTCAAAAACTCCTTACGCTTCACGGTGCTACTCCACGAATTGTAATGTATATTTTCATCTGATAAAGAAAAACTTGAAAACTGAATGAAGTTTCAGTATGAGATGTGAGGGAGATTTGAGTGTTATTGTTGTTGTTCCCCCTTGCTGCACCATATCATCACTGTCCAGTGCACAGGATTCAAGACAGCCAGTGTGGTGTTAGTGTTGTCAGAATCAACCCCCTTTAGCCTTAGGAGCCGCTGGAGTGTGTGCTACTGCCAAAGTACATCATGTACAGTCAACCTTATGAATTAGAATAGCCTCTGGGTCATCCTAATAAAGATATTAGGCCAAAACAAATAATGACCTTGTTTCCGGTCGGCCGACCAGGCCACTTTTTCCCAAATTCTGAAACTTTTTTTGGTCCCAAATGTATACAAACGGTGGCAATGTCATGTGTGCAAGCGCACTCAACGAGTCATAACTCGGTCAAATCTCAACCGAATTCCACAACCGAAACACCTACAAGGTAGCAGAGATTCTCAGCTGTCGGCTCGAAAACCTCCAGGGTCGATACGAGCTAGAATAACGGGGGCCGGAAGGACTGGAACTGTTTGCTTGACTTCTCAGGATGTACGAAAACAGGAATACACCACATGCTGTACAAGAACAGTGAGTCAGTCAACTTTGACATTGATCCTTGCCATGATATACATGTACAGGTCGTCCCCCGTTAATACGAGTCCGGTTAGTACATAAACCCCGTTAGTACATAAGAAATCTCAAGTCCCGGGCGAAACGTGGTCACTTCCATACAAATTTTATCGGTTAGTACATAATTCGTTAGTACATAAACCCCGTTAGTACATAACATTTCTCCGTACCCGCATGCCACCTACCTCAATAGTACATAATTAATTATTTGTTAGTTTTTTGGCCTTCCAGTGGAGGCACATCGTGTTCTAGTTTCTACTTGTGGATGCAAATAGCTCAGAAATCAGAGCGCACATCACAAACCGACAAAGCTCTTTTTTTTTCCGAGTGACTACAGGTGCGGCTGGGCATGTATCATGCAAACTGTAGAATCTTCGCTAACTGTGACCGGTATAACATAATTTTTATGTTATATCGAGGGAATCAAGAATATCTCGCTGCCTAGTCATGGTAGCAAGAAACACTCAGAAAAGTAGAAAAAAGTGAAAAATTCTGGTACACAAGCAAGTTATGTACACTTTCGTTTAGTACATAAACCCACGATTCTGGCATGCTGGCTGGCTCGTGTGACAGGCCGCTGTCACACGAGCCAGCCAGCATGCCAGAATCGTGTACATGCGATCAGGCAGATATCTCTGAAAACTTGAAAGTGGGGTGCATTCAAAATTATAGCAATAAAAACTGCTTTATGGCAGTTTTCTAAAAAAAGGTTATTGTGTTCTAGTCCATGGACCCCGTCTAAAAAGTAAGAAATTACCGAAATGTGATAGCTGAAAATTAAAATTTCACACAAAACCTCACAATAATCACAACAATTGAAATGCTGCTTTCAACTTTAACTTGTACTAAGACGGCAACGTCTGTAGGGCCTTCCCTATCAAAATAATAAATTCTACTACTACTACTACTACTACTACTACTACTACTACTACTACTACTACTGCACCAACAATTGGCAACATGCACGCATAGGAAAGAGGATCACGAGGGGTCTGTGTGTGATTATTGTGAGGTTTTGTGTGAAATTTTAATTTTCAGCTATCACATTTCGGTAATTTCTTACTTTTTAGACGGGGTCCATGGACTAGAACACAATAACCTTTTTTTAGAAAACTGCCATAAAGCAGTTTTTATTGCTATAATTTCTTTTGTTTTTCTGTCACCAATCAATGGAATGCCCTATATCAATAATTATGTAAACGATGGCCTTCACATCATATCAAGAGGTTTATGTACTCTTGATCATAGCAATACCGTATTATACGCATTGAAGTGCAAGCCTTTTCTTGCAGAAAATGGCACTAGCATAATGCATGTTCTTCTGCGGGGAAACATGTGAGTAGTGGTGGTTTTTATACGGAGGTCATTCTGTGCATGTTGCTGTCGCAGAATTTCATGACTGTCATAAATTTGTCTTGCCTTTCAGATATTTCAGATTTCCCCACCCTCGATCAGATTTATTTGAGAAATGTAGCCATCGCGCCAGGTGCGTGTTGCAGATGTTTTTGTTGATTCTGTGTTTATAATGGTTTATAATCATGGGTTATCGTGATAAGGTCATCCAGCATCATATTGCACTGAAATCGTAATCCTGTTGATGTCGATACAACTTTTGGAAGTAGTTCAATGACTTCAATCTGTTAGTCCACGATTTTCTAAAACAACACAGCAAAGGAGGAACAATAAACATGTATTAAAATGTAAACAAATACATTGCTGAGTCCGACACCTCGTTCCAACAACTACACTGATCCTGAGGATAAAAGGGTCAAGGCTATGGTTGGAGGTACTGATACTGAGAGATAAACAAGGCACTCCATGATAATAAAATCTTACACATCTTCTGGTGAGTATGAATGATATCCAGTCGAACCTCTTTAGGACGAACACCAAGGGACCGATGGTATTTATTCTGTGAGTTTGTCTTAACCTATTTTATAACCAGTGAATACAATTATTTATCCAGTAGACATACGAATAGATTTCTTCTACAGCGAAAGATTCTAAGCCACACCGACTCTGAACCTTTCTTTAGCAACATGACGGCAACTGAAACAGCAACAGAGAAAGTACGATACATGTACTGCACATTCTTGCAGGTACTACAAACAGATCATTGCAGATCGTAATTCTTGCTTTGGCGGCACGAAACTTTATTTGGGGCAGTGCAATCTCGGCGGTACTCACAAATCAAACAGCCCAGACTCGAGTAAACAAATCCAATCATACAAGTACGAGATTTTCACGAGACGAGACTGCACCCATTGGCTTGTTTCGTATGAAGCAAACAAGTTACTGAACCTCTCCACAATGGAGATTTTCCCTGATACGCGAATTTATTTTGGCAAACTCGGTCAATGAGTCCTTGAACCTTTCCCTCCAGATTGGGAAATGCCAACGATAGTATGCCACTGACCAGTGCCTTACTTGTAACGTACTAATGTGCAATGAATATGAGTAATTCGACAACACATCTAACATAAGCCTTACCGTCAAGAAGGTGAACTCGCGTTCTTCGCACACTGTAGGCAAGGGCAAAGAGATAAAAATGGATCTAAATCCGAATAAAATCAGCACACGTTTCCGTAAATGAAAGGGTGAGCATAAGCAAATGAATCGAAGGAAACTGGTCAACTCAGAGATCAACTGTCATTGAGTATTCCGTAAAAGGAGGCCTCGGCAGCGGAAAAGCTAAATTGAGAAAGGAGATCCTGTCAGCTTCTCCATTATTTATTGCATTCCGCCCAAAATCAGCACACTTTTCGTAAATGAAAGAGTCAACACAAGCAAATGAATCAAAGGGAACTGGTCAACTCACCTGTCATTGAGTAATATTCCGCGAAAGGAGGTCTCAGCAGCGCCGAAACGAAATAAGCCAGGCCAGGAGACGAAATATCCGAAACAGCTCATGCAAGAAGCAGTTCCAAAGAAGGAAGTTCCTCGTGCATGCACATCCGAAAAGGCAACAACAAAAAGTCTGCAATGCCCACGCATGCGGCCAGCCGGCCGCGCGATGGTAGGATCTAGGAGCCATAGAGTAGCTCCCTGGTTCAGGACCAGGTACCGAGCATCTTACGTAGAAACTTACGTAGCTACGTAGACAACGTGTCTGAATAGCGGTGTCGTTAGGTAGCGCCATGTGAACACAATAATAGAAAAGCTGACAGGATCGCTTTTCTAAATGTTCATTTGTACCAATGCTTTTCCCTAGGCCTCTGAAACTCTAGGAACATACTCTCAATACCCATTGTAAGGATTTGTCCGAGAGTTTTTTGTTAAAATCGATACGGTTTGGCATATATATGGAGCCAAAGTATCAGTTGGTGCAGGCGTAATTCTGATTTGGATTACTGTACTAAAATTGAAAAGTCGCTCGGAGAAGTTCTTCTAATTTTCCTACTGAAAATTTTAAGCTATTGGCCATCAAAATCGGGCGAGAGACGGGTACAAACGAACATTTCAAAGGCAACCCTATCTGCAGTGCAGCCACGAGGAAGAACCGCGCGCGCTGCACTTGTTGTGAATGCGGAAACAACACTACAGCAGCAAAGCAATTTTTTGAAATGTTTTTGCTACTCGCCTGGCGCTTCATCGCTGTGTCCTCCAGGAGTTATCAAGGCTATGGCAGACCGAAGAAATACATGGCCCGCACAACGGCGAAGCCATTGGACTTGTTCTCTTGCAACGAAACGGAGTGGCGAATCAAATAATTCACAACTCCACATCGTCACCACTGCGCTACACGGCTCTTCGCAGACCAGCCGTATACTTACGTTTACACAACAGGACTTCACGGCGGAGAAACTAAAACTAGAACACGACGTGAGTCATTGATGCATGCCGTCAAGGAATGCTAGTCCTTTCCCTCTCCCGTCACCCGCGCCTGTGCATCAGCGGCGTAGCTGCCCGGCTGTAGATGTTGAACTCTTTCGTCAACGACTGCAGGATTCTGCTCGGGGCTACTTTTCGCAGGACTCCGTGTGCGGACAGTCTGAATGAAGCCTTCGGCCGACAAGGCCAACACTGCTCGCGAAATAATCCACTTGGAAGGAAACAAGAACTACCGAAATGAAATAGAGATAGTGAGACAGTCTCCGGCCATCTCCTTCACCATTCACGACTCAGTCCTTGTCACAGCAACTAAGCCCAAGCAAGTCAAAATCTCCTTGCGCGACTGCGTTCTACGCCTGCGCTTAGCGGTCACGCGAGTTCGTTTCTATGGTGATCAGATCCAAGATGTCCTCCCACGTAATCGAGGTTTTGGCATGGTTGCTGTGAGCCCTGAATGTACATGTGAAGGTGCTCTTGTCCATCAATACCACAACGATTGAGGAACCAAAAAAAGTATCCAAAAAAAGTTTCATTCCGGCCGACCGAGTCTCCTTTTGAGGGGTTGCCGACCGGAAACAAGCCTATTTTTGGTTTTGGCCTTACATTGTATTACAAGTACCCTGGCCTTTGCCCCAAGGGCTGGTGCAGACAACTGGTAATCTATTCTATAAATTGTGCACTGGAATTTTCTGGAATTACGGTATGCATATGTGCGTACATGATGGTGCACGCGAAATCCTAACTGGTAATAACTGCCCCCAGCTTGCAGCCTACTAAGCATTGCAGATACTGTTCACCGTGACTGTGTAGTGGAGTAGCACAGTTGTGCTCACTGGTCAGATTTCACTGAGCACAAAAAAATTACCTTGTCTTTGATTTATGCATGAGGTCAGGTTTCAATTGTTATTGTCACCACCAGGTATTTGACGACTCCCTGGTCACCACCATACCCAATCCCGCATGAAAAGCCCATGGCTACAATAAGTATATTTCAACTACACGATTCACGGGAGGAATTTCTCTGTCCCCGGGGAAAATCGCGGAAAAAATCGCAAAAAAACGCGGGAAAAAACGCGGCATAATATGGCATAATTTGCGGTGAATTTGGGATAAATATGCGGTGAATAGTATTGATATGAGGCAATTTTCAGTGAGTATGTAGTGAAATCAATCAGTTACAAGTCTCTGGTGTAAGCACTCGTCATATTTGAGTACAAAGCTAGCCGCCACGATGAGACGTTGCTGACCGAACAGTGCACGGTGTGTACGTGTAGTGCAACAAAAAAGTTCAAAAAACGCGGTCTTTTAAAAAATCGCAAAAACGCGGCCGCGGAATCGCGATGTTCCCCGGGGACAGATTTCTCATGACACGAGTCCGGGATCAGGGAGTTGTCAATTGTTGGTATTTGATCACTCCTTGGCTGGGATTATCTAATTTTAGCTGGCAACCATTCAGCCCAAAAGGGAAAGCAAAACTACGTATATGTTCATGTGACATATAGTACACTGTACTATAATTATTATTATGTTCATGTGATTGTGCTTTGAGCTTGCAGCCTATATGATAATTATATCATTCATATCTTCTGAAAATTGTAGTCAAGTTGCTGTCGGATGATCGGTTAAAACCGTGAAACTCAGAGTTACAGCAGAAACGCTTTCGATTCCTCGCAAGTGTGTGTAGTACACTGTACTATAATAACTTACGCCCTCACGCCCAGCCCAATAGCAGGAAACAATTTAAAATGTGTACAATAATAACGTCCAGTCCCCACAAACATAATACTGGTAATCCTAACAATTTCCTGGTGTCTAGGACAAGGCCACACAAGACTGCGTGGAAGCCATTCATCCAAAGTAGAGAGTTGTTCTGACCATGGTTTATGGTAGAGACTATGGGAACTCAAATACTACTACCGTAAAATCCCGCCAGAGCGCCCCTACCTCCTCGACGCTTCAGGTGGGGAGGGGCGGATGGGTGAGTCCTACTTTCCGCATTCAGTACTACTTGAAACAGTACTCACCCTACAAAAACTGTTCGTGCATCTCGTACACCGACCAAAGGTCAAGAGCCAGGAGTAGTACAGACCCGTCAAAACTCAGGGTTTGTGCGATCCCTGGTCAAGAGGGTGGGCACTGTTGCGTACATTTCCAATGGGGTCGGGCACGTGTCTGCAGACTGAGTGCGGTACAGTACGGCATCACAGAGTCATACGAGACAATCAATCACTTCCCTGACAAGAAGTCAGGGAGGGGCGGATGGGAGAGACGGGGTGCTCTGGTGGGATTTTATGGTAGTACTAGTTACCATGGCAATCATGAATCACAATGTAGTAAATGCATTAACTGAATGTACAACTTAACAACACAAGACACTAGCCGATGACAAACAAGGTGAAAACAACAACAATAGCTATATGCAATATGTACAAATGTCAGATAGGCTTATGCATTTCTGCGAGCTGCAATCTTGCAAGCTATGCTTGACGAGATTTCACTTCTTTCCACGATTTGTAGAACTTCTGCAATGCCGAGCTTTCCTGTCGTCTTTGTGACATCCACTTGGCCTGTTAGGGACAATGGCAAACAATTCCACACAGGTCCAAATAATGCGGGGAAAAAATTCCAATAGGTTACAAGACTGGGAGATCGATCCCCATTAATTTAGCCTGGTCTTTGCTGCATCAGGTCATGTGCATTGTGCATGCGACTCTCCTGGTTTCTGGCTAATCTCAAATGCAACGTGGCTGAAGTGAGATTGAAGGAAATGCAGATGGCATGCACAGCGTTTGTACTCAAGGTTGCAAATAATTCCTTGCACGGTTTGCTTGAGAGGTCATTAATTTTAGGCTTTCTGCATTTGTTAGGATGCCACGTACCCCACTAGATTGTGTCAGATATCGTGCCAGACATTATAGACTCCTGGAGCGGTGGTTGTGGGGTAACTTACCATAAAGTATCAAACTTGCTTACATACACAGCTTGGAAGGCTTCCAAACAAGTTGCAAAAAACGATGGCTTTGCAAGGCTAAATATGGCTTATCAGCAGGTTGGCATTGGTGTGGCAACAGCTGGACTGGACTTACCACTTCTTCTGCGTCTTTCGGTGAGAAAGACACCATGGAGCGAGCTGCAATGATAGCGGTTGACGTCTCCTCAACCTAAGAACAGGTTATAGACAAATAGCACAAGGATTGTCAAGGAAGCGATGAAACTTGACTTTGACCAGGCATGGACATACATGCGCATATCAGGTCACGATATGGCTTCTGAAATCATGAATTCATTTTAATATTTCACGAATGCATGCATTTAGGAATAGCATTTATGTGCCCAAGCTAATGAGCTGCAGGAAGGCATGTGGGTTGTTTGGACAAGACAAAAGTGCAACAGGTTAGATTCAGTTACCTTTGTCACCAGTTGTTGTATTTGCTGTTGGAACTTGGGAACTTTAGTTTTCTTGCAGAATTGCTTGACCTGCACAGCATTGCAAACACAAGGAAACATACTAGCACATGCAGGACGAACACAGTGCCGACTACATGGGTAAATAGCGGCACAGTGCCGACTACACATGCAGATAGGGTCATAGATAGGGACACTGTGTACACATCCAGTACAGTGTACATTCCATGCTGTATTTGCATCTTTATTCCCACCCCGCAATCTACATGGAGCACGCGTAGTCGCGACACTCATGATATTCATTATTTAAAATGCAGAACAACACTCGGTCAAAAATCCTTTGTGCTTCATGCTGCTCTGTTTTGTAATGCTCTACCTAATGACTTGAAATCCTCTGTGTTTATCTCTCAGTTTGATCGTGGTTTTAAGCGCTTATTGGATTATCCAGTTTGTTTTGAACGATATCGTGCAATTTTGTTTGCCAACATTGGGAACGTTTAGCCTCTCACCAGCTATTTATTGCCCAGGTTCAGCATATGTTTTTCTTCTTCTTTTCTCTTTACTTGGGAACTCGTGGCCTGGCACGAGGGAAACATGGATGCAGTGAATGGGATTTCGGTCTTTGACCACTTTGTGGTGGGTCTGATCTACTCACCTCCCACCGCTTAGGAGCTGCATCTGCGCCTTGATCCAAGAGGGTGGTGGCGTTCCTGCGGATGCGGAAAACTGGGCCTTTGGCCGAGTCTCACGCGAACCGTGAATTTTTTTTCTTTTTTCTCTTTACTTCGAAGTGTGTTCACCACTCATCCGCCTTTTTTCTAAACATTTATATATTTTTATTATTGGTCCCATCGGCCTCTTTATATTTGTGCAGCTAGCTGCACTGTTGAGCTTCCGATGTAAAAGAAAAAAAGAAATATAAAATGCAGCCCTTGCAAGCAAAGTGCACTGTACCCAGCCTCATGAGTTGATGATCAACAATGTGTTGGTTAGCCCATCAAGATATGCAGCGATGGCTAGTGCCGACTTAGTCACGAGGTCGGACATCATGTTACCATTAATATACCGATATTATTTGCATACTGTTAGGCTGATGCAAACACACACCATGCACACTTGCACAACCCCCCCCCCTTCATCTAAAAACATTCTCTTTCTCCTCTCACATGCACACACCATGCACACGCCATTCACACACCATGCACATACACCATCGTCACTTAGCACTCACCTTTAGAAGCACAGGCAGAACTAACTCCGGAAATGCAATATGATGTGAGTAGGAAGACAAATGATCGAGAAGCAGATCAAAGACATTGTCAATCACACCATCCTGAAAAACAACAACACACAGGTCGCAAAGAGCAACAGAATTATGTACTTCGAAGTACATGAGATAGCACTGTTCTTTCAGTGATGGCCACTTGGCGATACATCCTACTGCGAATCATGAAACTACTTTCACACCTTTTATAGTTACGCTGTCAGTGACTGGATCAAAATCAGGCATGAAACTAGAATGAAGCCAATACAAATTGAAATCGAATCTTGTTATCTTTTTCATTTCACCTGTATTTGTGTCACAAGACACTGAATGCAGTAAGGGTATCCATGAAGAACATGCCCACGCACAACCTTACACTTTTCTAGGAAATAGGGCCATAGGCACAAGTCTGGCTCCTGGCACTGACAGTCATTTGCACGCGCGTTTCACATGACACCAAGAGTTCATAACCCCCTGGGGGTTATGAACTCTTGGTGACACATTTTGCTCAAAACAAAAGAGCACGGGATCGGTTATTGGCCATTCTTCCAGCCTCGGCTGACAAGAAAGTCGTTTCATTCAATCAACACGAGCACACCGTTCACAGTTCAATCTGACCTCGATCTGTCTGTGTTCCCATACAATTTCGATACACAGTGCACTGGCTCACATAAGCACAGGTCACCGGGAGAGACCGGTCCAGCATACAGCATACTACTTGAAGTACATAATGCCACACACGCACACACACACACACGCACACACATATGCAGACACACACACATATGCAGACACACACACATATGCAGACACACACACACACACACACACACACACACACACACACACACACACACACATATGCAGACACACACACATATGCAGACACACACACACACACACACACACACACAAGACATTCCTATCAGCAGGCTTGTCACGAATACAGTGCTGGCATTTACCTGGAAAGCACGGGTCTGCAGCACCGACTTGCTGACTTTGAGAATGATGGCAAAGTTTGGTGACTTGGCAAGGGAACCCTTGGTTCGGCTGCGTACCGATGACGAGTCCAGCACCTCTAGCAAGTGACTGGACACTGGCACGTAGACGTCAGTTTTCGCTGACATTCGGATCAAGGCTCGGATACAATGAAAGCGCAGGGGAAAGTAGCGAGCAGTCGGCAACAGCCTAGCGCAACAAATGAAATGCACACAAGCGCATATGAAGACACACACACACACACACACACACACACACACACACACACACACACACACACACACACATAAGGTGGCAAACGTGATACTAGTAATCACACGTCAAACGTCACTGGGGAAGATGCATAAAAAAGGGTACGGGTACAATGAACCTGGGGAGAGGCAAAGCTAGAAACACACCTGACAGTCATAACTCAATTTGCAAACTCAGGAAAACAGAACAATACTTGCACATAACTGACACGAAAACAAGCCTGGACGGTTGAAGCAGGACCTACTGTATTGTGCCGAGTACCACTTGCACCAGTGGGAAGACCAGGGGCTCCAAAGTGGACGTGAAGCAGTCACCAAGAACACGGCACCACAAGCACACACTGTGTACAAACTGCCAGTTATAAACCGTCTGAATGTTAGCCTGAACACAAACCAAACACAAAACAGAGAGAGAAATCAAAAACATTGATAACAACAGGCCAGTAGAATCTTCAGGATAGTGTCACTGTGTGCGTGTGTGTCACTGTGTGTGTGTGTGTGTGTGTTTTGTCTATTGACAAATTTGCATAGGACCGTGACTTCCGCCGTCAGAACGACTTACTCGGCACAAGGAGCACTCTCTCGCCTAACAGCTATCATCACCTTCGGCGATGGGGTTTCCAAAGGTCCAAATGTGTGTGCGCGTGTGTTTTGTCTATTATTGGGCGTGCACGACTGTATGTATGTATGTATGTATTATTATTATTATTTATTATTATTGAAAACTCAATCTCGTAGCATGTGCACGCATTGCTAATGTGGGGAGCAACCCCAGAGATGAGGGCGATAACCAGCCATGGTAAAAGTACAAAAGAAAACAAGAAAGCAGTGGAAAGTATGCATGACTAAATGTATTTCAAACTGAGACCACAAGATGGACTATACGGAATGTGCACCAAAGATGTGGTGACAGCTATATACAATAAAAATTCAGCTCTCTACTAGCCATAAATCCTCAGTCTCAACCTTTATTCCAAACATGTTGCCTTGTTGCAATGTCCAGTGGAACTCACAATGTTAATGGTATGAACTCTGATGACATACTCCTGCTTAGTAAGAACATTGTCCTGAGCACGGGTGTATTGACCCATACTGGAGTACATGTACGTTGAGATAAGAAGTACCTCCGATACTCAGTACACTTTCCTGCTGTCCATGGGGATACGTCTTACTCAACTACATGTACCAAAGCTCCACTGTATACATTTCTAAATATTTGAAACTCGGATGTTGAGCCAATAATAAATGTAGAAAGTATCTAGTATCTGGTTACAGTGATGGAGAGTTACTCTTAACCCGTATCCATAATTATGTCCTTTTCCTTTCTACATTTCTAAATATCGTGTCTTTATACATGAGCTTTTTGAGCCAAAACATACATCAGGGTTAAATCCTATAAATAATTGTTACAGAAGCAAGTTGTTCTGCCATGCTACTCTCAGCAAAATGAAGCAGCGTTCTCCTTACTTTAGTCTTCTCTGTCATCGCTTTACGGAGTTGAACTGCAAGCTGGCGGATATAGACGAAACCATGTTGGTAAGTGAGCGGCAGATCAATGGCATATATCTCTGCTAAACTGTTCTCCATGAACTGAATGCCTGGTAAAGAGGAGATACTGGTGAAAGCCGAGTTACGAGCAAACGACAGGTACATTTGCTGAAAGATAACCGACGAGAAATAGCCAAACGGACACCGACAGTGGCAGCAGCAGCAGCAGCAACAATAACAAGAACAGAGCCAGAGTCAGTTACAAGCACCAATCAGAACTGTGTCATACATGATAAACAAGTACAAAAACTTCAGCTTGCAGACACACGTAGATAATAATAACAATATGACAAGCATGCATCCGCAGGAACGCCACCACCCTCTACGGATCAAGGCAAGCATGATGACATACAAACCACCAAATCACCAATTTTGCATTCTGAAACACGGAATGTGGGCAGTACGCAACGCCAGACCCCATGTGCAGAGCTGCGGACTCTTTGATACTATGGTATGCAAGTGCCGCTCTTTGGGCGATATCTTGCAATTTTATAGGACTGAAGCACGGACCGCGCCACATACACGCAAATATCCCGAAACGTTCTTATTGGGCAAAGATTCAGGAGTTTCGTTTATATTTTTCCAGCCAGACTGCCGTTCTTTAGCAACATGCGTTCTTCAAAGCACTAGCTTACTGTACAGTAGACACCAAGTTGCAATACTTACTTTGAAACAATTTTCACGGTAGGTGACATTGTTATTTGCCATCAGCAAACGTCTCAGCGAGAGAAATGCCAGCACACGCACATACTCATCACCGCCGCTCCAGAGAATAGTCAAGCGCTTTGTCATCAGCCGCAGCAAGCGCGGAAAGCAGGAGATGTAGACGAGCAAGTGCTGAACTTGCCGCAAGACAGCACATGTCAGTGTTGGCTGATGAAGATGCTGCAACATCTGGGCAGGGAAGATACACACATTGAAAAGCAAATGAAAAAAAAGAAGATGAGAGGCACACTGTAATGAACTCTACTCGAAGCTGGGTGACGCTACACAATGACACAAGCCAAGCAACATAATGCCCCCTTTTCTCCCCCCCCCCCCCCCCCACCACCACCACACACACACATAATTATACACAGCAGCAGCATTTGCAGCAGTAGCAGTACACATACCAGCAAAAGAGTGGAGATGTACGACTTGACAACTTTCCTCAATTTTGGCCAATTGGCATGAGAAGTCGGGGATGATTTTCTGCAGACATCAAAAAAGAAAAGAAAATATTTTCACAGGAAAGATCAGCAGCAGCAATGGTGTAAAAACGAAGTACAGTAGATTGCCGATCCTCCAAACGTCAACCATACGAACAGTAAATTATCCGAAATCCCTGTTTGCACTGCATCCAATGGACAAAAATAAGTTTACTGATTTCCCCACTCAAAGCAACATTGAAGATTTTGAGAAGCTGGAGTGTGTCTAATTCCTGTGGTACTGCCGAAGAGAATGAGAAACGATGAAAATATGAGGTAAAGTGCACGGTCTAGATTGATGTATGCTCGCTTCCTTATCTGAATATACTCCTTATCCGAACACCTTGAAGACAGCCCCACGCCGCAAGGGATGCGGATAATCGGCACTCCACTGTACTAGCATACAGACGAGAGCCTAAAGAGGATCAGCAAGCACACTACAACTCAACGTGGCCGCAAAGCTGTTGAAGGTACACCTACTTTTTCGACGATTTCCGCTCAGCGCCTCCTGCTACGTCATCTTCAGGAAGGGGAATATGGTGCTGCACAACCAAGTGCACATGTCGTAAGCAGCAACGGACCAAAGCATTGAACACTGGCCAGTAGAAAAGGGAGAAGATAGGCAAGCAAACAAATATGGATTAAATCAACAGCTATGAACAAAGTTGGTCAAGCAGTTCTCATCAGTCATGTACATGAGCACACACAAGTGACTGCTAACGATACATTGACCATACCTATACACCCCGTTGTCAAAACACAACAGATCATTACCGTACCTTGAGGACTTTCCACAAAGTAGTGGTACTTCTCGGCGCTTTTCACCTCGGCCGTGCGGTGTATTGCAGCACCAAGCGCATCAGCTACTTGCCGCAAGCCACGCAACGAGTGTTTCTAAATGCAATGAAGAAGAGCAGCCGCAAAGACAATGACAAGTTACTCCATAGCAAGCAGTATCACCGCTATTTGCGGTGCAATGTGGGGCATGCGATGGGCTGCGACCGAGATACACGATTTACAATTTTCCTTGAGTCTCTGTGACACCTAACGTTTTTAAAATGCAGAGCATAGAACGAGCACATGCGTGTGCACTGCACGTGTAAACTGTACTCCATTGATGTACGCCGTGTGTTGCACGTCGCAAAGGTTTAACTTTGGTCAGCTTATTCGACAGTGGCCTCGCCACTGCTTGTGACAGTACGCGATAAGAATTTCCTTATCGCAAATGTTGCATATCGCACGTTGAGCAAAAAGTGATATTGTGAATCGTGCTTTAGATTTGGAATTCCCCGTTGACTACAATGGAGGTGACACAGTATACCCCACTCACACTGTACACCGGACATCCAGTATACGTTCCTGGGGGAGTAATATGTTCTGTTGTCACTGCTGTACTCAGTTTCTTGTCCCCACGTATTTGCATCAGTACGGTCACATGATTCGGTGGAATTTCAATTGTAAACACACACTGAAAATCCCCTGGTATTTCCAAGATCAACACAGCAAGGCTACCCAGTTGCATGGTGAGATCAGAAATACATGTACATCAATGTGCTACTGTCATCCAACTTGCAGTCAGTTTGAGTCTGCAAAAGACTACACCTAGCACGACTACTTTCAATTTTAAGGACGTGTAGCCGAAGAAGTACACATGCATTGCATGATCAGACCGCAATAAATTTTACCTGCAGTAGAGCAACCCATCCCTTCACCATGCCTTGAGACACGACCCTGCCTTGGGGCTTGGCACCGCCATCCTCCATGTCCTCTTCTCCTTCATCATCATCGTCATCAGCACCGTCATCCATACCCTCTTCTCCATCGCCGTCATCGTCCTCATCACCACTATCATCTTCCAAATCCAATCCTTCGCCATCCTCATCCTCATCCTCCATGTCTACATCACCATCATCTTCACTGTCAACATCCTCACCATCCTTGTACATAGCAAGCGCTTGCGCAAACTCTTCATCATCACTGGAATCCTAATAACAAAATAGAGAGACAGTGCTGGATACAATGATCAACATTCACAGGCACTAGCCGAGTAATGGTGGTAAATGCTCTATTGGGATCTTCAACAAACCAGTCAACATTCGCAATACTGACGGCTAGTTTCCAAAGGTCAAGCAACGTTGAGTGGCGGTAATACACAGGTTTCCTACCATGTCTCAGAACAACAGCCTCCGCCGTAATGCGCAGATCAAAAGTGGAATGGCGCCCATTCGGCTGCTGAAGCGGGGGTTACAGCCAAACATACTTCTTTTCGAAGTATATGGCAGATCTTGAAATCATTTGTTCTTGTGCATGCGCATGTGTGTGTGTCCACAAAGATTGGGATCTAAAGCCATACTTACCTCAAATTGTGCGATTTTCACTGCTGGCTTCTTTCCCTGCTGCTGCGGCTGGCACCCTTCTTTCTTCTTTTGCTTGGGGCTAGCAGTGGCCTTGGGGCTAGCAGTAACCTTGGGACTAGCAGTGACCTTGGAACTAGCAGTGACCTTGGGGCTAGCTTTAAGACTGGCTTTAGGACTTTGTTGCTTCCTATTGTCCACAAATAATAGAAGAGAGGAAGATGCCGGTATAACATGCATAGTGGTACGATTAGAAGCAAAGAAGAACAAGAAAGAAGAACAAGAAAGAAGAAACTCGTGAAGTTGACATGCACCAGCTGTTCTCTGCCTATCTAGCAGTTGTTCTTTTACTCCCAGTACAACTGTAAATCCCATGTGTAAGCATGGGCAGTGTATAGCAATGAACATCATTGTTGCTGCTTCGACAATTGCAATCTACTATCTTACTATCTCACAGTGTCTGCACTAATATTTTAAATCAACCAGGTACACGTGTACCTGGCACAGCTCTGGCAACCGGGTCAGAGCCGGGTACATTCAAGTGTGGCTACTGTACATCAGAGAGTTGTAAATGTTTTTGCGACTCCCTGATGTACATGTAGATCTACAGTTGGGCTTGGTGACATCCAACCCAGAGTGCATATTTTGCGCCCTCAAGTTGCACAGCCCTCGACGACTTGGTAGAAGTACGAATGCGACTGGAAGTACATATGTACAAATACAGTCATGTACTAGTAATCAGAACCGGCAGAGGGCGCCAGTTTTGCTTTTCGGGTCGGATATCAACGAGCGCAACTGTACAATCATGTTTATGTATGAACGTACTGGGCACTCTGTCTGTCCATGCCTGTACGGTGGGGTGGTGGAGAAAGTGGTATTTGACTGCCGAAATAACTGGTCAGTCAACCTGCATCATACCCAACATCAGCAGAGCCTCATCACCTCACACCATACAAGGGCGGGAGCACTCAAAGCCCAAGGAGGTGGTACTCGGCATGCCCAGCGGCTCAGATTTAACTCACACAGCCTAGCGCATGCCCTGAGGGCCTTGGAACGCCCTCACAGCATAATTGAGCTGCTGCCCCCGAGGGCCCCCGCAGTAGGCCCAAACAGATTCTGCTCCGCTCGCCTCGATATTTTGCCGCGAAATCTTCGATATTTTGCCGAGCCTGGCACAAGAATCTCGATATTTTGCTCATTTTTGCTCCGGAAAAACGTGTATTTTATCCAATTCCCTTACAATCCCGTACAATGTTTCATAAAATCGCAGGGTCGGTTTCTCAACACGGATTTCCACGCACGTGTCCCTGAGTTCTTCCAAAATCATGTGGATCCACAGTGAATTCCAGTGATATTTCGGTGACATGATCTCGTCCTGGGCAGTGTATCCTGCTGAACCAAGGAAATCCAAGTATGAGGCATCGATTTTACCCAACATCTCGATATTTTGCTCCGATTTTGCCGGCAATTTCCGCTCTTTCAATTCTTCGATATTTTGCCGAAAGAATTGCCGGCAGGATCTGTCTGGGCCTACCCCGCAGCCGAGTTGCACTAAGACATCAGATTGGTACGTGTTGTGACGTAATCAGCTGTTATACAGTAGATATAATTATACTGTACAGTAGGCAGAGGCTGACAGAGACTACCGACAAATAATAATTCAACGACCTGACACCTAGCTAGCTCCATCACATTTATCTGAATGTGCTACGACCTGGTTACATTAGTAGACCATTACGGCGTTTATTAATAGTCATGACACCTACAAATTATTTGTCTTTCCTCTTCTCTATACCATTCTCTATACCATTCAAGTCACCATTCAAGTCACGCCATGCCAACCACATGACTACAACAAGATACGAGAAGTACTCCAGCTGCACTGAGTTCTCCAACTACATCTGGAAGCTGAAGAAATCCAACGCCCAATACGAAGTCGAATGGAGGATAAAAGATCGCGCCCGGGCATACTCCAACATCACGAAGCGGTGTTCCCTCTGTACCAGAGAAAAGTATCACATCCTGAACACGCTAGGGTCACCGTCCAGCCTCAACAAGCGCTCCGAAATGGTGTCCAAGTGCCGACACGAGAACAAGTATCTCCTAAAAAACCACGGTGTCACCTAAACATGTCTCCACAGCCTCCTGCCCACACCATTCACGTTCACACACCTTGCTCATAACACCCTGCCCACACCAGACATATCCATTTACATTGCGCTATTATCACACTGCTAGCTCTACAGCCTCCTGCCTACAACATCCACACGCATTGTTCACCACCTCCTGCCCACACCAGCCACACACTTCGCGCTCACACTGCACTGCTAGCCCCTGCCTTCAACAACCACACACTCTGCACACAGCCCCCTGCCTAAAACATCACCGCTACTGCGCTAGCCCCCACAGTCTCACACAGCTTTTTATACCACCCTCTCCTGGCATATATACCGGCATGGTCGGCACCCGATCTTCATGTTGCCTGATGATTGCGTAAGCATGAAACTTAAAGTAGCAGCAAACAAGCCTTGATTGTCCTTGTTGTTCTGTTGTGTTCTCTTCTCTATAATAAATTTTAGCACTTACTTTTTTACCACCTTCTTCCTCGGTCTGCTTGATTCTTCATCACTGGACAAGAGTCCTGTCTCCATAAACGAGTCGACATCCATCGCGCTCTACTGAAGAATACTTCAAACCCTCATTATTTCAATCCGAAAACAACTGCACAATGAGCATGTAACAATTATTTACATGTAGACTCAACAAACCGATTTTCTTGCCGATTTTTGACTCTCGATCTCGTGTTCGCCTTGTACTTGTAGTTGACCCGTGGCGAAGCGATTTCCTTGGCAACAAGACAGTCGTTAACGTAACGTCGTTATAACGACGTTACTACCGTGTCATCGATTGGCGAATCTGGATAGGCCATACACAGTCCGTGCGCCAGTTCAGAAAAAGTCGTCTAAAAGTTGCACTTTTATTTTCCAGATTTGCCAGATTTCGCAGTTTTCTCAAGATATCGCGAGACGAATACTCAATGGCGTCTCCTTCGTCGTCCTTTGGTTTACGTCCCCCGTGAGTTCTTTGTCTCAGATCGTTGTCGAAATCCAACCTAATAGTTGTTCTCTGCCCTAAGTTTTGTCCGTGGCGATAACAAATAACGAGAAGTTGAGTTCTCGCTCGTCGCTTGCGTTTTCGTTATGTCGCTGATATTTTGGTTGAACATGCTATAATTTCGTGCCGTTGGTTTGTACAAGGGTTTCGCTATTTCCTGCTTATTTATTTAGAAAGAGATATTAGCCAACAGTGCATCCTCCAATTTTGGCTTGTGCAAAATATCCGACAGCGGTGATACCAACCGTTTTGTCAACACTGTATTTTTGACACATTTTGACACACACATGTCTTCAATTGGTGAACTTAGGAACGACCGACAGAATCGTTCAAGGGGTCCTAGTATTCTGCGATGTACCAGCCAGACCATTGTATCCGTAGACCACGAATTTATAAACAACACGAACCTCAACAGGTTGCTGGAGCTCCAAACACAAACCCTCGTAGATCAATGCATGTGCCTATACTTGTATGTACAACAGCAACAATATCAAGCCAAATACAGTACTGAGGTGGGAAAGAAATATAAATAATTCATGCAGAGAGGATGACACTACAAACACAGCACACGAGCCAATGCAGAATTGAAGTGAAAAAATGGCATCTGCGGATGGCCTGGATATGGTGCTACTATGTACAGAACAACCGCCACAAGCTATGACACAAAGTCTCGTACCTTCATTCACGGCGGACGCATGGAGCAAAGAATACGTTTACCATACACCCGTACATACATCACGTTTTCATGCGCTTTTTTCAACAGACCCACACACGTCTGCATGTACATGTAAACGCACAGACATGTACACGTACGTACGTGCACGAACATACACACCCATAAACATGCACACACATACACACACACGCGCACATCCGCTAAAGTATGGGAGCATATGTGCACAAAGCATCACGTGATTGCATTCACAAGTTTATACAAGACAGCCAGGTAATGAATGCATACTTGTAGTTGTGTGGTAGCTGCTACAACAAATGGAGCATTGCCATTGGCTAAATATTGCAATAAGGAGAGTGTTATGATAGTCATGCAAAGGTTCTGCTGTTATCAACGAAGTGCACGCCTCTCGTGCTAAGTTCAAGATCCATTGTACTCTTCTTTGCAACATACTTCGTGCAGCTTCATCCAAACGTAGGCATCACGAGTCAAGGCAGCAGCCACATGGACCAGTAAGATTCACTGATATTGAGGATTTGGACCAGGGTGCTGTTCCGATCAAACTTGAAATAACACCTTGTTGAGCTGGGTCTTCCCCACTGGCACAGCCACCTGGTGTGGCCCTACCATTAGTGATCTCTGCCCGTTGCCTTCATTTCATTGGTAGGGTTGTGTTTGATGAAAAGCCCACTTGACTGCCTTCCAGCATATAGCTTTCAAATGTAAGTGTGATGTATTGATATCACACATAATCACAGACATGCTGACGTTTGGTACATGCCTCAAGGCTAGTCAATAGAATTGATAGTCATACATCACTTCAAGCTAGGACCACTCCAGTGGGAGAAATGAGGTGATCCACTGTTGTCCACTGGAAGCGTTTGACCCTGTTGATCATGGTGATATCTACATAGGCATCAATACACAGCCGGAAAGTGAAGTGTGCACACACAGACGCACACACACACACACACACACACACAGACACACACACACACACACACACACACACACACACACACACACACACACACACACAGTGACACACGCACACAGACACACGCACGCACACACATACCAAGCAGCATAGCACCACAATTTCCACCATGTAAAGCAGCAAGTATCGCCCCCCAAGCATGTGTATGCACAGAGTACATGATTATGCCACAAGGGATTTTTTATATATTTGAATGCAGGTGCACAGACCCTGGGTCATTGGCATTGTTCATGGGTTTCATATTCATGTCCTAACTATAAATTGATAAGTCAATAATAATTTTGCTCTTCTGTTTCATGCATTGTGTGTAAAATACCAATATACAGGCAAATTGTACTAAAGTACCATACAGCTCTGCATCAATTTTGCCAATGCTGTTGATTGTACATTGTTCACAATCGCTGCAATCGCTGCCATTTCTCATAAATAATATTGTCATGCAGTATAGTTACGAAATACACCGCCAGGATGCCACAATACAAAGATGGCTACATTTTTTCAACCAACATGCAATTATTGCGAAAAAATAAAATTAATATTTCCATAATTTCGTGCCGTTGGTTTGTACACAATTTCAGGGCTAAAATAACCTTACCCTGTCATGGCGATACCTCTGAGGAGTTGAATTCACCTAGTCTCCCTTGTGCAAAAAATTCCCTCGTGGTGCTGCCAGCTGCAATGTAATGGCAACCCAGAATAGGGTGAAAATCGAAAACGATAAATTCCTCGCCTCCCGTCCATCCAACTGCGCTGGTTGCATCAAGTACGATGTTTAGAAGACGAGTGGCATCCGACTAACGACTGGCAACATATTTCTTGAAGAAGGAAGCCCTCATTTCACCGACTGGCCTCGAGGTAGGCAACAAATCGACCAACAATTTACTGACCGGCGTCGTCATCTTTCCCTGCATAACGTCTGCATGTATGGTTCCCGCGCAGAAAATAAAAATCGGGCCAAAACAGGGTCTGGCGCACGGACTGTACAGTCACAGCAAGAGTCCATAACTTATGCATAAGGCATAATAGAGAGGTTTTGCATTCCGAATTTCGGAATGATTTTCGACTGTGCTTTTCCGAAAAAAGGGCGTTCCGAAAAACGGTATTTTCAGTGTTTTGCATTCCGAAAATCTGATTCGACTTCGTTTCCAAGGGTTGCCATGCAAAACAAAATGGAGAGCGTCGAAGGGGTTGAGCAGGATCAAATCCATGTGCGCAGGTCAAACTGAATTTGGGTGCGGTTCGAAGACGAGGACGGACTGATGGTGGACCAAGTGATCCAACAGCTGAAGACGAGGTTGGCGAACTACTGTCTTCTACTGTTAGTAGGCTCCAGGGCAAAGGAAGATAGAGTGTGATGAAGTGTGAGAAGATTAGTCAACATGGCGAGATCAGCGAGAACAGCAAAACCAGCAAAAATCAAAACTACATACGTGGAAATTTTTCAAATAATCGAGAGCAGCAGAAAGCAAAAATACAAACATGAAAAATACACTTTTTTGTATTCAAATTAATATGCACTCCCAAACATGAAAGAGCCGAAAATCTATTTTCGGAAAACCATGCACTTTCGCCACCACACTTCCGAAAGTTCGACTACTTTTTCGACTCCTGCCGCCACATTCCGAAAATAATTCCGAAATTCGGAATGCAAAACCTCTCTACTATAACCCAGGTAATGGACTTTACTGTAGTCTTGGTCACACTCACACTTGTCACCAGGGAGCAGTACAATACCTGGTATTGACTATTGTACTACTCCCTGCTTGTCACAGTGATCAGTGGTGACTGATATGATAGGGCCAGGGCTTGAAAGTGATGACGTCAAAAACGGCCAGGGAGTAGTAATTTGACATCAGATTTCTATTTTGGATCCACTAAGGTGTGACTTTGCTATTGCCTCAGTATGTGGGTGCATAGCAACCCACTCATGTCGTATGCAGGGGTGACTTTTACTTCGCCACCAGTTGTCACCCCGCCCCCAGTAGCCAAATCAGTCAGTTTCACTGGCTACATCACCTTGCTGTGAGTAAGACCGCTTGAAATGTGCTTGGATCCATACAAAAACTGGATCCAAGTGGATCCAGTTTTTGAATTTTTGAAATTGTAGCTATGCTGTGACGTAGCACTTTCAAGCCCTATTGCGAGCAGGCGGCCGGCGCGGTGTAGTCCGAGCAACGCTGGCCCAATCAATCGAACAAAACAAGGGTGTACGTGTATGCAGTCGCAAAATGTACGCATATTGTACAAGGATTCTGTCAAAGAACGCCAAAGTCCATTTCCATGGCCCATGTGATCGGATTCCACTCCAAGTGCACCTACTAGTACTCCGGATTCGGCCAATCGATCACGCTCACTCGAAGCGCACTTGCTCGGGATTCGCCCTATCGATCATGCCCCTAGACTAGGCTACAACAAGTTACGTAGTCCTGAGGCCTGACTTTCACTCGGGAAACTCTCGACTTCCTTACACACCACGTTCTGCAACCCCCCTCTTGGATATGGACTCCCATCCCATGCTAACCGACCATCCAGTCCAGTTACAAAGAACACATGGGCAGCGGACTGCGTTCTTGTGCACGCACATATAGCACAACACATGCTCGTTATTTGTGGTAGCAGGTGTTTGACGTAGGAAGAACAAGTACAATCATGCACATGTATTTCCACATATCAATTATTAGGGACCATTGAAAAAGTTTGCAGAAGCCCATGAAAGGAACAAAATTAGTTTTGGGCGAGAACCCCCTTCCCCCAAAGCAAGCACGCTTTCACAATCCAGGCTTCGCATAATGCATGCATATGCACGTATGAACATTCGCGAAGCCTGCACGATTTCCGGCTAGAACCCCCCTCCCCCCCTCCCCGCCACACACACACACCGAATTTTGTTCGTGTTGTGGGCTTCTGCGGACTTTTGCGATGGTCCCTTACTCAAGTTTTATTTAAAGAATGATAAAATTAATGTCAATAGGCCAGTTCCATAGCAAAGGTGTTGTTGCTTGCCTGTGCCATGATGCGTGCCAGCCAAACACTACACCCAATGCAGCTGCTCTTCCAAAGCCCTGGCGACTGGAACTGTCAGGACAATAGTGGTATGATTGGTCACCTCAAACGTTGTCATCTCACTCATTGTCACACACTTTACGTTCTGCACTTTGTTGGCTGCTTTCATGAAGTCGTCCCAATCCCGCTGATACACATCCACGTAATGCTCATTCAGGTACGACTTCCAGCTGGGATCCTCACGCACAAACAGCACCTTCTTCCATCCAAAGCTTTTCAGCATTAGATCAATCTTGTTCGAATTCACCTGGGCAATGCTCAGTGCATCCACAATGAAAAGCGAGTCTTGGGCATAGCGTACACTCAACGCGCTGCGCATGGCAAGTCTTCTCACTTTTAAGGGAACATTGAAGGATCGGTCATACGGTTTCAAGCCCCATGCATCTGTATTCCTGGCCTTCCTAAACTGAGGTGCAGCGGCGTTGGAGTGTCGAGCACGACCAGTGCCTGAGTTTGCCCACATCTTCTTACCAGTAATTCCCAAATCACATCTTCTCATCGAACTCTGAGCTCCATGTTTGTCACACTCCCTCTTCCACCTACACACTTCACGAATTATATCGAAGCGAGGTCTTACACAGAACACAGATGGGTCTAGCTCCATGAGACCAAGTCGCTCTTGAGTCCACAGCCTGGTGATCCATGCTTGGGCTCCACCTTTCGAGTACGGATGTGTTACGACTGGTTTCTCCGGAGACCAGAGCTGGTTCAGAGGCAATGTCTGAAGGTGCTGAGTGGGAAGGTAGAAACACGAGGGGCTAGGCCTCTGGGCGAGACGAGCCACGGAGCGCAAGAGGCTAGTAGCCATCACTTTCCCAGAATTGATAACAAATGCGCATTTGAATTCCTGAGTCTTTCACAATATTTAATATTAATTTTTCTGTCAATTAATTTTCGTCAAGCTCAAACCCATGACGTCAGAAGAAGGCGCCTGCCGCCTGGCCACTGGCCACCCACGCGTGCACGCTGTACATCGCGATCTCATACAAAAAATGATACATGCATGAACATCGATTTTTGTAGTTGAACATAGATAGCTCTGTACAGCTGTATGCTTGATCGTTTTAGGAAAGAATGGTTCACCATCTTGCTTGTTATTGTTAGTGTTGTCAGCTCTTGAATCCCTGAAATGGCGAGGGGCAAGTCGAAAAAGAAAGTTTCCCTTGGAACATCTGGCTCGCAGTCACGTTGGGTCGTCGCTCGTGAAGAGAGCAAGAAGAAAGCAAATCCTTTCGAGAAGTCGAAAGCTGTTGAGAAGGTAAATAACAAAAATATTTTACTTTTAGTTTTACTGTTCCAACTAGTGAAGATTTTACTGTTCCCTTTCGATCTCTCAAATCCGTGAATAATTAACATTTTAATTGTCGTATACAGCGGATGACTCAAAAGCAATGGTGCCTATAATAATAATAGTAAATACAGCACGCATATAGCTCATATGAAGAAAATCAAATGAGGGTCATGAATCTGTCGACAACGTCGAGCTAGTGCGTTCTGTCTGAGGCAAGTTGGTGCCTATGCCAAAGGGTATTTCCGGACAACCATAGAAATGAGCTGAGCAGGCAGACAACTGGAAAAGAAATATCGTATTGTTTTTACAATCGTGATGAGGAGAACAGGCCGAATTGATATGCGGTAACCTTACTTTAATTCCCGTAGCTATGCAGAAGACGTTACTTCAGTAACGTCTGGCGCTAGCAAGGGTCCACGCAGCTTTAATTTGGTGTTTATATATATATATATATTTATTTGTTTGTTTGTTTGTGTCACGCCTGGCGCTATCCCGTATCTGTCCCGTACCGTACCATTAAACACAGCTGGTCACAACCAGCTGGCCACAATATTTGCTAGCGCTATCCCGTATCTGTCCCGTACCGTACCGTACCATCAAACACAGCTGGCCACAAACAGCTGGCCACAATATTCGTCGTATTATGTACATGTATACGACTCCCTGATGTATAGGGAGATTTTCTGGAAAGAAATAGGGAGACGAGGAGGAAATGCAATTAGAATGGATGTTAGTGGACGTTAGTTAGATCCGTCAGCAAAAACATCCTTTGGAAGAGAGATCCCGTCGTCTCCAAAATAAGCGTGAACGGGCGAGTCAGCGCCGGTCACAGGAAATGTCGGAAGAGAGATCCCGTCGACTCCAGAAAGCCCGTGATCGGCAGAGTCAGCGCCGGTCCCAGGAAACGTCAAGACAGACATCCCGTCGACTCCAGAACGCCCGTGATCGGCAGAGTCTCTCTCTCTCTCTCTCTCTCTCTCTAGGCGAGTCAGCGCCGGTCACAGGAAACGTCGGAAGAGAGATCCCGTCGACTCCAGAACGCCCGTGATCGGCAGAGTCAGCGCCGGTCCCAGGAAACGTCAAGACAGACCCGTCGACTCCAGAACGCCCGTGATCGGCAGAGTCTCTCTCTCTATCTCTCTCTCTCTCTCTCTCTCTCTCTCTCTCTCTCTCTTTCTCTCTCGTTCTCTCTCTTTCTCTCTTTCATTTTCTCTCTCTCTCTCTCCTCAACCATTCTACCTCACCTTCCGTTGTCTTTTTCGCACTAAATCACCCCCTTCTTTTAGGCTATGGTGCGCAAGCTCACGTTAACGCCGAGACCATAGGTCGGTGTTGTGGGCTTGCCTCACCAGCACAGGCTTGCTTTGCAGCCCCTACTCTCCCTGCTGTTTTGTTATTGTACACTCTGTTGTCTTCTCCCCTTCTGACGAGTAGGTTGTGTACTTAGTAAAAAAAAAAGAAGTCAGCGCTGGTCCCGTAGCTATGCAGAAGACGTTACTTCAGTAACTCATTGAAACGTTTTTGCAATACAATGATGTAGCTAATCAAAGGAAAAAAACATTTCCATCAGTTCTAACAACATGCACGATGAGCTAGGCAACAAAGCATAGCGTAGGGCCCTGAGCTTCCAAGCTCTCTCGTAGTGGCATTCAGTGTTAAGAATAGGAAATTTTACTACTACAGTCGTCCCTCTCTAATCCGGCACTTTATAATCCAGCACCCTCGATAAACCAGCACAATTTTCAGTAGCCAAATGTCCTCTTCATGCACATTGCAGCAGTAAATCAGATTTGTTAATCCAGCACCCTCCCTAATCCAGCAGATTTTCGTGGCACAAATGGTGCCGGATTATAGAGGGACCACTGTACTACTACTACTACTACTACTAGTGACAAGCCTCTTTTACGGGCAAAATAGCGGAAACGTGAAATCGTAAATCATACAAATGGTGCCGGATTATAGAGGGACCACTGTACTACTACTACTACTACTACTAGTGACAAGCCTCTTTTACGGGCAAAATAGCGGAAACGTGAAATCGTAAATCATTGAAGATCAATTCAATTAAAAAAAAAGAAAACTCCTTTAAATAACGTCAAATCAATTAGTAAATCCAATGTCAAATCCAATGTCAAATCCAATGTCAAAAGAAGAAAACTTTAAACTCAAAGTGAAAATTAAAGTAACAGGTCCCGTCATGTATGCAAGTCTAAGCCAATGTCAATATAAATTACCTGTCATGAATGTTATGAATGGATGTGCATGCATTGTGGAGAACTGTCCGTACACCTATCCAATTCAACAAATAGACAGACAAATGACAACAGAGTGAAGTACCTACATTGTACATACATCCTACACCGTACCATCGGCAGCGAGTCCACCCGGTGCCAAGCCGGCGTCTCAGCAGCCCCTTGCCATGGCAACAGCTCATCGGCCACCCATCTGCCGGCACTCCACCAGGAAAGACGACTGGCGACGCCGCTGATACGAGGCCCGGCACCCGCGGAAACAGGTGACGGCCCACCGAAGTAAGCAAAATGAGATGCGTACCCGCAACCGGTTGATGAGGATGGAGTACGGGATATCGGTGTGACGCCTGGACAGGTATGTCGCCAACGTCGATAGAAATTTCGCGCACTCCGGTGCCGCCAGGCCCTGCGTCGTAAACACAAGCGGCGTAAATGACGCACGCTCGATGTTGACGATCCGTGGCCCATACTCGGCCTTCTTACGCCGCTCGTGAGACCTGAGCTGGCCAAGGACTTCTGAACGAGACAGCACAGACGCCTTAGGGTGGGTTACCCTAACATCAAAATAGGCGTCCTGCTGCCTTGTCCAGAAGCCCCTGGCTCGGATGTCCGCTCGGGCCTCGTCCTGGCGATTCAGCTGGCGTCCGGGTAGATCCTCCCCATGCATGGCCGCCAGCCTAGGCTCCTTTTCAACGTCCTGGGCGACATCAACCAACACCTCCGCGAGCAGATCACGGATGTTGTCGTGACGCGCACCAGGATAGCCGCCGGTCGGGCATACAAACATGTGATCCCGCACGGCAGGCTGACCACACACACAGGCTGCCGCGGTGTCCCTGAGATCCAGGTCGTAACGGATACAGAGGGCGTCTCTGAAGTCATTACAATTCAGCACGGTGCCGTACCGGGACATCGGGTCCGCCGTCAGCCATGACGATATGCCGGGCTCACCCGCAATCTCGATTAACAACTGCTGCGGGGGCGATAGCTCACGAGAAACGGCAGCAGCCAGATCCGATGCCTGGCGGTCCCTCTCCCGCCGCATGGCAACAGCACGAGTCCGTGCGAGGGCAAGGGCAGCGAGGATGGGATGGTCATCCCCAGGCCGAGGATCTCGAGATGCTCCAATATTCTGAGGCTCAGTGCGAGAGCGATGGAGTAGATCCCGCATGGGCTCAGTCGCACGCAGGGAACGCTGGTGCTCATGCTCTGCAACAACAGAGGCGATTGGCAACCCAATTCCACCACGTCGACAGGGCAGAGACAGCAAACGCCGCAGCGGGGAGTCGTCCGAGAAGTGATGGCCGGTGACAGCAGGTAACAACTTGTCAGTCACACTGCTGTCAATGGGTGCCAACACCCCCGGACCGCACTCCATGGCCCGTGATAGAAATTTCCACCTTGGCACCAGGGATCTTACGGCAACGGCGTAGCTGGCATGAGGCTGGGTAATGGCGTACTCTCCACAGCGATTCATCTGGGCTGTAAGTCCCTGAACCCGCTGATCCAGAGACTCACGACGGAACTCGACTGTGCCAAAGGCACCACCCAGGCAACGAGCGCCGTCCGTCCGAATAGAGACGCCGGTATCCCGGAAAAGATCCCGGGCCTCCACCTCGACTTCCGGCTTCACAACGAGCACCGTCTTCGTGGGGTTGGGCAAGTACCCATACACCGGACCCAGGTTGCTGATGCTCCGCCAGTACTTGCGTAGAGCACGAAGACGTCCCAGTGCGGAATCGTCATCAGCATACCATAACTGCTCAGCATCTGGGACAAGCTCCTGCAGTCGATGGATAAGTGGCATGATGGCTAGTGCATACATAGCCATGGCGATTGGGTCGCCTTGGCATGTACCCTCACGAGATTGAACCTCACCACCACCCGTCACGAAAAGCCGGATCGGTTCTCGGTAGGTGTTTCCCACGATCAGTGACATAGCGGGACAAGTACGGGCGATGTTGTAAATAGCTGCTGAACGGTTAACGCTGTTAAAGGCATTGCTGGCGTCAACCAGCAATACGCCCTCCACATCATCCTGGGCGAAACGTGATGTTATGTGATGGACACCAACCTCACAGGCAGAGGGTACGCCCACACACAGCTGATGCGGCACGGTGATACCGACAACGTCCGTCTCCACAATCTGCATAATGGCTCGTGAGATGATCCGCCGGAATACTTCACCCACGGCAATGGGCCTAACCCCAGGGCGCTTGTCAAGGGGAATCAGTCTCGCAGCAGTGAAACCCTCCATCTCACCATCCGCTGTCCGCTCCGTACAAATCAGCCGGCCAGCAGCCGCCAGGGCGCTGCATAGTTGGTCTGAAGCAGCATCAAAGCACGTCGTCATTCGTCTCCACCCATCGGCATCGACACCGGATGGCCCAGAGGAACCCTGAACAACTCGGGAGACCTTCTTGATCCGATCGGCTGTAAGTCCAGCAAATATAGCTGCACGAGGCTGTACAGGGTCGCCAGCAACCTCACACTCCGGAACAAGGTCAGCAGGCGCAGGGTGCTTCTCCCTCAGGACATCCATGACCGTCCTGTCCCCTGTGGCGTCAACAACATCATCCAGTCGAAGAACTCCACCCCCAGCCTCATCGGAGAGACCACGGGCCGCTGAATGTAGTTTGCCATCAAAGACCAACTTGGCAAACTGGGTGTCGGGCATGCGCCTGTCATCCCCTACCGAACCTCCAACCCTGGGTT